ATCACTCTGTGTACTATCTTAAAAACAGTGCTGATATTTTCACACATCTAAAGAGAAGTCAGTGCTTGCCTTTGGTACATCATCTTGAACTGGAGGGTTTGATAAACGCTCACAGGCCCTTGGGAAGTAATACCTGTGCTCTTTAGCTGTTGGTCACTTGGGGGTCTGGAGGACCTTGTGGGGGCCTCATAGATCCTTGAGGCAGGGGCCTCTTTCTAATCCAGCACTTCAATATGACTGGAGGGGGAATGTGGTTGTTCTGGTTTTTGAGATGGGATCTCGCTGTGTTGCCCAGGCTGGCCTCAGACTCCTGCCACAGCTTCCTAGGTAGCTGGGACTACAAGCACGTGTTACCATGCCTGGCCTGATCTTTTTATTTTAATTGTAAAGAAAAAATAAATATAGGCCAATACTTTAGTACTAAGATTGTTGGTCAGCCAAACCCACCACTCAAGAGGCAGAAAGAAGCAGGAGGGTCATGAGTTTGAGGCCAGCCTGAGCTACCTAGAGAGATCCTGTTACAAAAACACAAAAGAAAAAAAAAAAAGATTGTTGGTCAGTTTTTGTTACAAGCAGATAGACAAGCAGTAAGTAATATTACTTTCTAAATTATGATTCTGGATCATTACTTTCAAAACACATTTCATTGAATTATGGCCTAATTTCTATTATTTAAAGATAAATAATCCATGGCAATCAGAGTTTTTTTCAAAAATATCCAGAATTCATCCCAGACTCACTTTGTGCTACATCTGTCTGAAACCCAGGCTTGAGCCAGCTTGCTGTTCCCAAGAGCACAGCCATACAGACACCCTTTATAAGATGCGATGCTCCCAGCATTCAATCACTCCCTATTTAATAAGAAAAGGAAATCCTCGTCAGCGAATCAACTCACATTTGCATTTCTAGGAACATCAACATAAACTGTTCACATAAAACTGAGAAGCTGACAAGACTTTTCTTCTTCTTCTTTTTTTGGCAATATTGGGAGGTTTGAACTCAGAGCCTTGTGCTTACTAGGCAGGTGCTCTACCACCTGAGTCATACCTCCAGCCCTTTTTGCCTTGATTTTTGAGAGAGGGTTTTGCTTTAGGCATGAGCAGCCTGGATGATGAGCCTCCTCTTTGTGCTCTCTTGCACAGCTGGGATGATAGGTGCACACTACCAAACCTAGCCTTTGGTTGAGATGGGGGTCTCATGAACTTTTTGTCCAGGCTGGCCTTGAATGGCAATTTTCCTGATCTCAACCTCCTTCATAGTTAGGATTACAGGTTTGAGCCATTGCACCTACCCAGGACTTTTCTTCTTGAAAGAGAAAAATTCAGAGCTTTAATGTGTTCTGTGTATTTATTTATTTCTGTTTCTTTTTTTTTTTTGTAGCTCAGACTGACTTCAAACTCACAATCTTCCTGCACGGTCTCCTGAGTGCTAGGATTCCAGGTGTACATGTATGACTTTAAGAAAAAATTTTATTAGCATAAATTAAGTGTACAAAGTGGGGTTCGTTGTGATATTTACAATATGTGTAACTCTTTTTTCCCCCGGTACTGGGGTTTGAACTCAGGGTCTCATGCTTGCTAAGTAGGTACTCTACCACTTGAGGCACTCCACCAGCCCTGTATAACTCTTTTAATCATGAGAACTGTATAAGAAGTTGCAACTTTTGCAATACAATAAGAGATCAACTCCACTGTTTAACTGGTAAGGAGAAATGTATTATTTTAACACAACAAAAAAAAAAGTCCAGGTGCCCTGGACTGGACACCAGTACACCTAGGCTTTACTTTTGGCTTTGCCGGTAACGTTGGGCAAATCATTTAACCTCTGCAGGTTGAACTTTGGTCCCAAATATGTGTAACTTTTTTCCCCCGGTACTGGGTTGAACTCAGGGTCTCTATGCTTGCTAAGTAGGTACTCTCACTTGAGGCACATCCACAGCCCTGTATAACTCTTTTAATCATGAGAACTGTTAAGAAGTTGCACTTTTGCAATACAATAAGAGATCAACTCCACTGTTTAACTGTAAGGAGAAATGTATTTTAACACAACAAAAAAAAAAGTCCAGTGCCTGACTGGACCCAGTACACTAGGCTTACTTTGCTTGCCGGTAACGTTGGGCAAATCATTTAACCTCTGCAGGTTGAACTTTGGTCCCAAGGGCTCCTCAGAGGTTAGCACAAGAAGAGCTTGCAATTAAGGGAGGAGGCCCTAGATGGTGCTGTTGTTCTGAGTGAGGCTCTGGACTCGGTCCATGAGGACAGTGAAGTAAAAAGCCATAGGTTAGAAAATGATTTCCCATTAATTCTGAATAAAATTCACTGCCTAAGAATTCATTCAATGACATTCAAAATGGCATTGAATCATGAATCACATGACCCATGTACATCTGACATTAATTAAAAGGAATAAACCATTAACGATCATATCAAAGTGAACACACTCCTATAACTGATTTAACCCTACAGAAAAATATTTTTTTCAAACCAGTTCTAGTAATAAATTTTGATAAATACTCGTGATTTCCAGACCTGTGATATCCATGGGCACAACAACAGATACATTACTCCTACAGACAGGTAAGTAGGGGCATCTTGTAAATAAATACACTATCTTTAGTGTTCAAAGGGTAACACTAAATGGCTTCTCCGGTTTTAACTAACAAAGATTAGGATTTGAAGTTGAGACGATGTCATGAAAGTTTAGACGATATGAAATTTTCCCAGAAGGCTCATGAGCTGAAGGCTCGGCTCTCAGCTGGTGGTGCTACTGGGAGGTGACTGGATCGTGGGATTCTATCCTCATCAATGGATTAACATATAAATCCACAGACGAGTTCATAGCTGAATGGGCTAGTAGGAGGTGAGGTCTGGTTGGAGGACACAGGTCACTGGGGGCAGGCCTTTAAAGGGTAGATCTTGTCCTTGGCCACTTTCTGTCTCTCTCTCCGCTTCCATGCTGCATAAATTGAGCAGCTCTGCTCCTTCAAGCTGTCTCTACCATGATGTTCTGCCTTGTCTCAGGCCCAAACCAAAGGAGCCAGCTAACCTTGGGCTGAAAACTCAGCCCAAAATAAATCTTTAAGCTGTTTATGGCAGGTATTTTGTCACAGTAATGAACAGCTGACTGACACAGGTGAACAATATTAATTTTTCACCTAAGAATCATGGAAACAAACAGAATGCATTCTTATTTATTCCCAAAGAAATTCACTGGATGTAAAAACTTATGTTTTTCCTTAAACATGGTTGAAGTTTACCTGGAATTCAATCAACATGCAGAGTAAGAAAGTACCTATAAAAACACCCACTGGGACTGGCAGAGTGGCTCAAGTGGTAGAGCGCCTGCCCAGAAAGTGTGAGTTCCTGAGTTCAAAAACCAGTCCCACCAAACCAAACCAAACAAAACAAAAAACCCATTGGGGGATATTTTTGCTTTTTAATCAGTTGAGGGGGAACGAAATGACAAGTAAAAAACAAAGCATGACAATGAAATAATATAAACTGTGAATTTTGCTTTAATCTAGATTTTTGTTAACAAATTAGAAGGAAAAGATATTGAGTGGATCCAAGATAGTACTGCTCTCTGTGAAAGCCATCCATCCATCTCTGACCAATCAACCAACCAACCAACCAACCAACCAATCAACCAATCAACCTATGTGGTGCAAAGGATTGGAGATAAGAAGATAAATAAAATGCCATGCCATTCACATCCTCAAAATTTCAGTCTAGCCTAAAAAAAGGACTTTGAAAAGTTTGGTTCAGTTTATTATAATGTCAAGTAGATTTACAACTATTGCACTTATCATTCTGCTTACAAAAGGCCAACATTTAAGAGGAATATTTTTCTCCAATAAGTAGATTTTCAGAATCTTCCATATAAGATGTTAAAATTACAAAGGCAAATATATACACCTCATGTCCCTCTACACCCGTGCTCCCTCCCTGTGGTTGTACAGCTTGCTGCAAATGGGAATTTCGCTTGGATAATGCTTTAAGTCATCTCTTTCTCATGAATTACTTTTGAGTGAAATTTGACAAGAATTTTTTAATACTTTTTTCTTTACTCAAAACACAGAAAACATAGTTCTCATACTCCAAAATTAAATGTAACCATATACCAGGGAGATGAACTTTAAAGGCCAAGTAAATACTGGTTTCTTACAGAACTCCATGAGGTGTTTAGATAACGGTGTGATCACAGGCCGTCTAGTTTCTTGGACAATGGGGGGAAACAACAAAAAACTAAAAAGTGGTCCAGCATATGAAACTCTTCTCAAAAAACAGAAGAAAGTCATGAACGTTGTTGGGACAGCGTTCACATTTCCAGTGAAATGCATTCCATTGATCTGTTAGGAAAGATTGTCTCAACCTATTTGGCTGTAGCCCATGAATTCTAATTGATTCAGTTATGCCAAGAACCACTTTATCTTAAGCTTGGGATATATGACAGTGGAAGGCAAAGGAAAGTGGTCTTTTATTTACTCTAATAATTGTGCAGAGATGAGCTGGGGGAAAAAGTACCAGCCTTTAGTCCTCTTAAATGATTTTCCATTCTGATTATACTGTGAAGAAATGAGCTGTGGGGGCTTGGCACCATTTCTCATCTTAACAGTTGTTCTCTATTCTAAGATACTTACGCGATTCATAATGCACTACAACAAGACACAGCTTTTATATATTACTGGAGTAATGCAAAGAAAATGAATTTTCTTTTGGGTACCAGTAATTGTCAAAGAATGATTGCAGATTCAAAAAATGTGCTTAGATAATAACCCTGTTAACAGAAAGAATACACTGGGGAAAGAAAGAAGTATGGCACACAGGTGGAAGGGTTAGTTGTATTAACAAGGCGTTTCAGGGATGGTTTTGGGTCTTTTGATGAAACAAGATACATCAAATTTCAGCCCCCTTCAAGTCCTTGGACAAATGGGAAATAGTAACCCAAGGATCATTTGGTGAGCACAAGCTGATTTCACCAAGTGCTTACAAATGCTCCCATAGTTAATAAACGTCCCTTCTGAAGCAAGGATTTACCCTGGTACTGAGGCTAATGTGCTCAACGTTAGAGTTAATTTGAATATCAAAAATGGAATTTTGATTACTAACCATGTCCTGATAGTTACAGCATGTGGAATGTCAAACGTCCTCTTTTTAAACTAAAGTAAAAAATGAAGAAGCATGGTTAATTCACTTGTGCTGATTAAAACAGATGTCCAAGTGCAACTTTTGTATGTAACCTCCCCATGTTGCCAGGTCACCAGAGGCTGTCCCCGGGGAGGTGTGGATCCGCCTCACTAAGCACACTACATGGTTTACTTTCTAGATTCCTGGCTCATGGGTGTCCATGTGCACATTTCTACTGTGAATGGAAGCTACCTACAAAATCTAGATGTTTTCTGCTTTCAGAAATTTCATGTACACCTTAGAAGTTCTCTTTCTGTTAAAAAATAGTGCAAAACATATCTGATAGTCAAAGTGAGAGTTCAAGTGAGTTCTCGTGCCAATGAATAGTCAAGCTTCACCTTTAGCCAACTTGGAGAAACTGAACGTAGTTTTTGGGAAATATTCCAGATTTTCCCATTACTTCTCCATTCATCCAGTCCTCATCGACAGATTGCAGCTCTGTTATTATATCTCCAGCCTGTAAGAAGACAGGAGTTGGAAATAATTACTGGTTTCTGTTGAGTATCAGCATGGTGAATAGCCCGCTTGGAATGGCATGAATAAACTTCCCTTTATAGAACTTACTTACCTTGGTTTAAAGAGAATAAATGATGTCCAAAAAAGATGAGGCACACCTGATGATACCTCTTTCCCTCAAGCTCACTCCTTTGCTGTACATTGATTTTCCTGCTTATATTTTATGCCTCCTAAACTCACCACTCCTCAAAGTCCCTCTTCAGTAAATAACTATAACTATATATATAAATACACTATCTTTCCATCTAACAAGTATTTGCTGAGCATGTGCTATGTTCCAGACACTGTTCTGGGCACTGTGGATATAGGAAAGGCCTCATTCTAGAGTGGGAGAACAAATAAATAAGCTGACAATGGGTGCAGAAGCATGGGGTTGCTTTCGGACCATTGGGGCCATCTGAGAGGGGCACATGATGGTGACATTGAAGCAAAGACTTGGAGGTGACAGGGGAGTCATGTGCTTACTCTATGCTTGGCTGTTCTATGCACTTGACAGGAATTAACCCATTTATACAACGCTGCAGTCCTAGGGAAGAGTACTATTATTTTCCTGATTTTAGAGATATATTTTTATAGATTACTTTGTTTTACAGAAAAGCAAACTGACGCCCAGACAGATTAGGAAGCCTGCCACTATTGAGTGTACAGTTGGGAAGAACCAGGATCGAAATTCAGGGCTTGTATCCGTGACCACTGGGCTACGTGGCCACTACTTTTTACAAAGGACCTTTTTTCCTTACAAAGGCTCTTGCTATTACTGCTTTTCATCAATATCCTGAGCATTGTACCCTCTGCATTTATTCTTGCACAGTGTTACTTCTACTCTATCGTTTGCCTTATTTCACTCTCCACAGCCTCAATTTCAAATGTACATTTGTCCTGTCCTACAAGCTTCACCTTGACACTGAGCACTGCTTTATACTCATCAGGCTAGTCAAAGGGGTGGTGTGTCTTTTTCATGTGCAAATTATAATTTCTTCAGCAGATGAAGACTTAACTGTTTTGCTCTTTTTGGTTTCTCACCATTTTTTAGCACCTGGCATTTAAGATTTTATAATGGTTCGGGATGACACTGTGAACATCCTTATCCAGTGAAATAGATTTTTTGTAGCCCTAGTACGTAGCCCTCTTTAAAAATGGTTTTATTTAAGACTTTTCTTTGTGGAAAACGGAAAGAAAATATGCTGTCGGATGTCATTAATTTACCTTACTCTGCTAAAATCTGTAAAATTCTGGCTATTCAAAGTTTCTGTTACAAACAACTTACTTTTGGTTCCTAACTTACAATGTTATGGTTGACCAAAGCTATTTGTCTAACCATGTAAGTTTCCTGAGGGCTGGGACAATTTTTTAAAAATCAGTTGTGTCTACTAATAGGCTGTGGACACTTAACAAAATATTAAAGACCAATGCCACTGAAAGTCGTGCAGAATCCCTTAACAAAAAAAAAAAATCAAACTATCTGACATGGAGACAGACCTGCTGTTCTCTGGGGGATACTATGAATCATTATTTAAATTGATATAACTTGAATGAAGGCCAAAATCATACCCAAAAATTCTGAATTCAGATTCTTCATTTGTACTACCACTTAATGTAAAGATAATGAATAAAATCTGAACCACTGACTTGCAAGACTGAGAGGTATAAGGGAACAGTTTCCAAACTTTAAGATTTTAAGGACCAAAACATGAAAAAAAAAAAAAGGGAATGTGGGTTTCAGTGGCTTATGTTTATAATCCTAGCTACTTGGGAGGCTGAGATTGGAAGGATCGCAGTTTGAGGCCCACTGGAGCAAAGAGTTTGTGAGGCCCCTATCTTAACCAATAGCTGGGTGTGGAGGCTGAGATCAGGAGGATTATGGTTCCAGGCCAGTCAGGGCAAAAAAGGTATTGAGAATTCATCTCAATAGAAAAAAGGTGGGCATGGTGGTGTGGGCCTGGCATCCCAGTTATGGTGGGAAACATAAAATAGGAGGATGCAATTCTAGGCTGGTCAGGACAAAAACCTAGACCCTAGCAAAAAGGGGCTGTAGACATGGCTCAAGCAGCAGAGAGCCTGCCCAGGAAGCACAAAGTTCTGAGTTCAAACCCTAGTACGGCCTACTCGAAAAGAATTGATACAGGATTGTCAAGTTAATTTTGCCCAGGTAGGGTGTAAGAGACACCTATCATTTACCAACAATAGTTTATAATAGAAATGATGTTTTAATGTAAAAAAAGCAGAATAACAATTTCAGAATAAAGGGAAGCTCTTTTCACCAAACACGAAAGTTAGCAACCTTATAAGAACACATCTTAGCCTCCCTTCCAGCCCCAAAAGTCAGCACCTATACCACATACATAATAGTGCTTTTTTTTTTTTTCTTAAGTTTTCATTACTGGGGTTTGAATTCAGGGCTTTGTGCTTGCTAGGCCAGTGCCTTACCACTTGAGTCACACCCCCTGTCTTTTTGCTTTAATTTGTTTTTCAGATAGGGTCTTGTACTTTTGCAAGGACTGGTTTCAAACCACCATCCTCCCAAGTAGCTGGTATGACAGGGGGAGGCCACCAGTCTTTGCTGTCCTAACACCTTCTTCTCATGCTGTTGTAGTTAAGTGAAAAGCTTGCTTGGATACCCCTGTTTTAAGTGTCATCTCATCCAGCCACTCGTTGAGTCTTTAATTCTTTGCCTGTGTCTGAACCCTGTTAAAAATGGAGACTTTCCTTTTGCTGCCACAGGCTACCACCACCCTCCGTCCTCCAGCACATCCCAAAGCACTGCCCTGGTGCTCTCCTCTGACTTTGGCCTAGTTGTGGACTGGGAAACAGAATCATGGACATATTCCATCTTCATTTTAAGGAAGAATGAGAGATACTTCTTTGGTGAAGTAAGATTAGGATTATATTTTAGGTTTCTTAAGAAAAAAATCTTTGCAAAGTAGCTCAGCCTTTTGGGATCATTTTCCCCAAGGTCTGGTTAGTGCCCTTGTGGGCAAGAATACAGTGCCTGTGAGGCTACAATGGTAAACTGTAGCAGGTACCATAGGATTTCTCCATCTGTTCAAAAGGGTTAGGAGCAGGCAATGAGGGCCATATAGAGGACCATTCTTTAATAGTGCTACTGATGAAAACTCCCATAGTACTGAAACGTGGTGGTAGAAGGCTGAAGAACAAGGTGGTGCTCAGAGCCAGCATTTTCTCTAAATACGTAAATGACTGGTTAATGAAGTCAGTGAGCAGCCCAGTTTGCCTTTTTCACCTTCTCCACTCTCTCTGCCTTTCTTTTTTTTGAGATAGTCTCTTGCTGTGCAGCTCAGATGGCCTCAAACTCTCCATCCTCCTGCCTCTGCCCCAGAGTGCTGAGATCGTAGGCCTGTGGCACCATTTCTGGCTCTCTTCACTTTCTTTCCTTAGACTTAGGGTCTGAAGTCTCTTCATTTTTAGGTAATGCTTGAGATTCCACTCAACAGTGGAAGGGTTGAAGAGACCAAAGTAAAGTACACCCACAGTGGGGACACACTGAGAAACCCTTTGGAACAACATCGACTTAAATATAAAGAATGAAAGACAGGACTGTAAAATAGGTACAGTGTGTGGAGGTACCAGTGGGACAGGGAGAGTGAACGAGTAGATTAAGGTGGGGATATATGGTGGCTTATATACTTAGATGAAATGAAACGGAGAAACCTCTTTCAATTGCTTCAAGTGGGGCAGGGAGAGGGCTAAGGAGGAGAGATGGTGGAGGTGATCTAACCAATGTACAATATAAGTCTATTTGGAATTGTCACAATGAACCCCCACATACAACAAATATATCCTAACTAAAAAAACTGTTCTTATAAAATAAAAAGATTCTGCCCAAATACCCTACCTTCCAATGGAGGACATTTCAAAATACATAGTGCTTAAGGCAGGTATAAAAATATATGCGTCTGACCTTGAAGGAGAGTTCATCTTCATTCTCCCCGTGGAAGTCATACAAGGCTTTGGCTGTCCTCCCCTTCAGTGCTGTGGAAGGCACACTTTTTGCCTCAGCTGGAAAGACACCAAAAATTTAAATACATACAAAGACAATGGGCTAAAACCCAAATAAAACTTTCTAAGAACTACCCTTGTCACTCTCAGAACAGATTATTTTCTATAAATTTTGAGCTTATTTAACTTGCAAAAAGATAGGTGTTCTCTTAGCCGAAAAAAATTATACCATGTATATTTAATCGACAAAATTAGCTATTATTTAGTGAAGACACTGTTGTCTTTTTCCCCATGGCTCTGATAGAGTAGCATGTGAATGAAGTCTGTGTAACTTCATGAATCAGCTCTCTCAGATGTAGACAGACAACTTAAACTGAGCAACGCCAGGAGGAAATGGAAGAGACAGTGTTTGAAACGTCTCAGGCTCCCTGGAAGAGTAAGTCACATCTTGTGATTGTCACACCTGGGCAGGGCTGCACAAAAACAGCTGGGAAGATCCCCTCCCTGTCATGCAATCGACCCCGGCACCAGTTGGAGTCCAGACGCTCCAGGATCAGGATCCGTTCTCCCCGCTTGAAGGACAAGTCATCGCTGGTCTCCGCTGTAAAACTGTGAAGGGCTTTGCACCATTCCCCAGAAAGACTGCCATCCTGTTACAAAGAGAGGCTGGTAAGAACTATGAGTTCTTATTTCACAGAGTTCCACAAAGCTTGAAAAATGGTGAGAATAAAAGCGAAGGGTTCATAGGTTTCCAAGCCTGGAGGCTTCTTGAAATGACCTGATATTTTATGTTGAGAGCAAGTTTCAGAAATAAAAGTTTCCAGTAATTTTTTCCCTTACAATATAATTTTAAATGACAAGTGTGATAGTTTGTGGCTTTGCTGCTTGTGAGAGATATATAAAGCTTAAGAAAACCTTTCCTTTCATCGTGCCTATGATATTAAGTGCATTAAAAATTAGATCAAGGCATGCAATACGCATGCACGGTGTTTATGACACTATGAAAACATTTCTGACCAAGTATCTCACTTTCAGTTTTATTCAGATCAGGAAGGATCAGAACTGACAGTCTGTCAGTTCCCAGGTCTTTCTTTGGTTTAGAGATTATGAAGTTCTATAGCATAGATTTCACTAATTCGCCTAAAAAATGGTTCACACTTTGAATTGTTTCAATAGGTTTTTTTATGTGTGTTGGTACTGGGCTTTGAACTCAGGGCCTCATGCTTGCTAAGCAGGTGCTCTATACTTGAGCCTCTCCACCAGCCCTCACACTTGAGCAGCCAAGTGTTCTAGACCCAGGTCTGCAACTTCCTAGCCAGGGCACATGGGGCTTCTTTCTCTTCTGTGGGCCTCAGCTTCACCTGAGGGTCTCTGTGAGGATTACATGAGCTAGCGGTACAGAACACTGAGCTCGTGCGAGGGCAGAGCTCAGTTCTCATAAAGTGAAGGCCTATAAAACGGAACCGAACAAAGCCCTAATCTCAGCCTGCTTGCTCCCGAATTTCAGTTGTCAGCCCTGAAGATGGCAACTTGTCGCTCCCCACAGGCAGGCAACCTGGTGACCCTTCCCTTGGAGAATGGAAGTCAGTTTCTTCCCTGTGTTCGATGTTATCAGTGGGTGGGGACACGCAGCCCAATGACAAGTGACATGTGACAAACTGGATGCCAGGCAAACACTCTGCCACTGAGCTACACCCCCACCCTAGCCGAGTAAAACGTTCAATGTCGTTTTTTCTCTTTCTTGCTATAAAAGTAATACAAATATTTCCAAACATTTGGAAAATTCAGAAATGCATAAAGAACTGGGGGAAAAAACATGCATAAAATCTTCCACCAAGATTCGATTTAACGTCAACAACTTAGGCATATTTCCTTGTGGAAATTTATTTATTTTCTTTCTTTTGGCAGCACTGGGATTTGAACTCAGGGCCTCAGACTTGCTGCTTGAGCCATTCTGCCAGCCCCTACTTATTTTTCTTGCAGTTTTTAATGCTATCTGTTCAATTTTATATGCCTTTTCTGTTTTCTTCTTATGACATTTATTTTGTAAATCTACTTTTTCACGGCTTTAGAATATTTTCCCGATAATGGTCACATTTATGTTGCTTCCAAGCTTTTCCTATGATACCAATGCCATCGTCCCCAATTGGTATAAAATTTTGTCCTTTCTTAATCCATGTTTTAGGGTTATAAATCTGAATAGCTGTGTTCTTAATTTTTTTACACTTGTATGCTTATACTTTCTTGTTGAGTGGCATTGCATCTCTGCTAATTGAATAAGTGAACTGCTATTTTATTACTATATTTTATATATTGATCACTAGTGAGGTTAAATAGTTTTTCAATATTAACCACTTATATCTTTTTTATGAATTCTCCAATTATGTCTTTGCTCATATTTTTGGCAGGAGTGGGGTTTGAACTCAGGGTCTCTCACTTCCTAGGCAGGTACTCCACCACTTGAGCCATGTCCATTTTGCTTATAGTTAGGGTCTCACTTTTTGCCTGGGGCCAGCTTTGAACTGTGATCTTCCTAATCTTTGCCTCCTGAGTAGCTGGGATTATAGCTGTAAGCTGCTGCACTCAGCTCCTTTTGAAGCAGGGTCTTGTTATGTAGCCTAGGCTGGCCTTGAACTCTGTCCTTTCTCAGCTTCCTGAGCGTTTGGATTACAGGCATGCACCATTACACCTGGCTCCTTCCTTTTTCCTTTTCTTTCCTTCCTTCTTTTTTTTGTTTTTTTTTTTTTTGCCGTTTTTGGTACTCAGTACTGGGGCTTGAACTCAGGGCCTCACACTTGCTGGGCAGGCGCTCTACCACTTCAGCCACTCTGTCAGCCCCACCCCCCCCCTTTTTTTTTTTTTTTTTAAGAGCTAGGTCTTGCTATGTTGTGCTGGCTGCTGAGTGCTGCAGCTCCTTGCAGGTGAGACCCCACGGCTGGTCAGTAGATGTAACTCGGTGGTTTCTTACTTCTGAGAGGTCACCATTATGATGTCCAGCTTAGTGTGGACACCTGACAGGCACAGCATACCATGACCTCAAACTCCTGGGTTCAATGGTTCTTTCTGCTTCAGCCTCCTGAGTAGCCGGGACTACAGGTAGGCACCCCGGTGCCCTGCTCCTTTTTTATTTTCTACAGGGTGTTTGTGTCTTTGCATGGGTTTTATGCACAGTCTTACATTAACCATCTAACTCATGTATGCAGACATTTGCTGCAGCAAATGAAAAATGATGTCCTACTGTTTTCTCCTGAGAACTGTAATGTCAGTATTCTCTGTAGGTTTTAAATCTGGCTGTCCCTACATTCATCCACTCTGGCAGCCTACCTGAGGATTTGAGCCAGAATCTTCTGTTTTGGTCTTTGGTGGTAACTTTGTGCCTAGATTAAAAAAAAAAAGAAAAAAGCCAAAATGTCAGATGAAAAGACCATAGAGTACTGGAGGAAAGCTGTTGGTGTGGGGAGAGTGAGGACCCTGGGATTCCAGACCAGTCTTAGCCTATGTGGCCACACTTCCGTGACCTGTGCGCCCCTCTAGGACTGTGTCCTTAACTGTGAACTGAGGACCCACACTAATAAACTCCACAGTCACTTCTAGTTACAAGCCTGCCATTTCTTATCTGAAGCTATTGCTAATTACCTGAAACAAAACCAGAGCCGGCTCTTTGAGAGGACCCAATAATGACTCTCACGCAAGTCATTATTAAAAACAGCAATGTGGATTATTACGCAGCTTAAATGCTGTATGTCTTGGTGGTACTGGGATTGAAGTCACTGCAGGCACTCCGCCCCCCGAGCCCTGTCCCAGTCCTTTTGCTCTGTGCTTTTGCCCAGGCTGGCCTCAGACCGTGATTCTCCTACCTCCACCTGGGAGCACAGGTGCTCCAGCACGCCTGCACGCTTGGGTATTGTCACGTTCCTGGTTTAGCTGAGTTAGGACACGACACCATCAGAAGCCACATTCTCTGTACTCACTTAAAACGCTGACACCAGGGGCAGGAGGCTCCTGAACGAGCTGCACGAAGTTAAGGGGGAAGATCCCAGCTCTGCCTCCAAGTTCTCCTCTAGCCCAGGCCTCATTCACGTACTCCTTAAGAAGAATTACATCTCCCTCTGAGAAACTTAACTCATCCTCCTGGTCTCCAATATAGTCAAACCTAGCCACGCATCTTGGGCCTCTGAGTAAAGAACACAATTTGTAGATTAAAATAGAGAGAACTGTTCTGTTTTCTTTTAAATTAAAGATCTTAATTGGCTTTATTTTCAATTCTGGAATCAGGCAATCCTTCACTCCATAAAATAGAATAAGTCTTCCCTAATATCAACTTTCAAATTCTTCATTTGGTCTTTTAATAAGTGTTTACTCTGTGTTTACCATGGAACAAAGTATACCTGAATAATTAAAAAGTTTCCATGAATAACAATAAACTTTTTTTGGTGGTACCAAGGTTTGAACTCAGGGCCTCAAGCTTGCTCTACCACTTGAACCACTCCACCAGCCCTTTTCTGTGAAGGATTTTTTGAGATAGGGTCTCGAGAACTATTTGGTCAGGCTGGCTTTGAACCATGATCCTCCTGATCTCTGCCTCCCAAGTAGCTAGGATTACAAGCATGAGCCACCAGTGCCCGGCTCAGGGCTTACTTTTTATATGTGAACCTATTCACTCAGAAGGGCCAAAGGTCAAGGTCACAGAGTGTTCCCAGAGTTCCAGATAAGCACCTGTGTGGTTAGTTTAGACTGCCACATCTGTGTTTTGGTCGTTTTTACTTCATTACAGAATCTCCCCAGAGCTCATGAGTTTGTATCTTGGGCTGTGGCATTCCCTAGACCAGGAGGTACTCAGGGCAGGCATCAAACGTCTGATCAATAGAGCATCGTGCTGTGGGTTCCAGGTTGATATGTGCACAATCCATCAATCATCAGTCAGTCAATCAGTGAGCAGAATAGAAAGATGCAAAGCTTTGCACGTTAGGAGAAGAGTGGAAGAAACAGAAAGCTGGCATTTCGAAACATAATCTACTAAATCTACAAAGTGATTTTGTATTTTCTTTCAAAAGGCTTCATTTCTGAGACCTGAAACACTTCTTCAGTGATCTGCAATTTTAGCTGAGAATAAGATAAAGCAGAGATAAAACTCTGTGTCTAGCAGATTGAGTATTAAACCTTTGATTTGAGATTTCAGAAAGGAAGTTTAATTCACAAGAAGCTAGTGAGAAACAATGGCCTCGCACCTTGTGCTAATCAAATTCTGATTACAGCTGGGTGAATCGATCAATAGCTGGTCAGGCCCATTTAAAATTCAACCTGGTGATCTGGTACATGTTGCTTAAAAACAGGAAAAAAACTGAATCTGAAGTGGACCCCAACTGTGTGGCATCAGAAGTTTTATTTTGTGATCACCGTGACATTACATTTCTCAAGTCCCCCGGGAACATCTTCTTACGGCTGACCTATTCACAGACAGGTTTACAGTCTCCATCAGGTGCTGAATTCTATTAGTGTGCTCATTTAACTAGAATATAAAGTTGCGATGTGGCAGGATTTAAATCACCACGATTTAAGGAGTTACCATGATGCTAAAAGAGTAGACAAATTCATGGAAAGGTCTTTGGACATCCAGAAAGATGCTTTCAGCTTAACTCTTCCTTCACTTGCTTCTAGTTCCTCTTAAACATAAAACAATACGCAACGTGAGCAGGCTTTTGTTTTTCTTTTTTGAAGGTCTTCTACAGTTTTTGTAGGACTGAAATTATTATGTGAAAAACCATTAAATACTTTCATTGACAAAAGTAGTTGAACTTTTAAAAAAGTTGTTGGTAGATAAACACCAGAAGGCCAAACTAAAATGCATGGGGACCAAACCATCTCTGCCAAGGCCGAGGCCAGGCCGGGGGAAGCCCAGGCTAGACTGGGCATTGCTGGAGTCTCCAGGGCCTGTGCGCCGCTTAGGTTGGAGTCTATCAGCACGCACACCTCCATCGCAGTACGAACCAACTACCACCTTCAAACTAGTAAGGCTTTCCTAAGAAGACACTGCAAATCTGATTAATCACACATTAGGCTTGGCACGTCTTCATGCTTGTCTCCTTTGTAGTTTGGGCAAAGGAACACAAACAAAACTTACTTAACACAGTGAGATGAATCGGGTTCTTGTCTTCCATTTCCTCCTTCTGGAATATCAACCTAGTAAAGAGAAAACCATGGTGACAATTAGATTTTTTTAGACTTTCATAAGGTAAGTTTAAGGCAAAGTGATTATGAGATGCATGCCTGAAATCAAGCAGGATAGATAGGTGCTAAGCCCAACCTAGTACCATAGGTGCTATGTGGTAAGAAATCCTGAATTTTGGTTTTGGAAAAATTAGAAGAGTGATAGAGGGGGTGAATTCAACTATGATATATTTGATATATTTTAAGAACTTTTGTAAATGCCACAATGTACCCCCAGCACAACAATAAAAAAAAAAGAAAAACTGAATAGTTTGAGTCGTATATGGTAGTGCACACCTGTAATCCCAGCACTCAGGAGGCTGATGCAGGAGGATTGTAGGTTTGAGACAAGCGTGGGCTACATAGCAAGACCCTTAAAAAGAAAAAAAGAGATAGCTTGTGCTAGAGTCCTCCTTGAGTAGCCAATCAGCCTTCTCTTATTTGCTGTCTTGAGCACATTAACGTCATTCTGCCCTGGACTGAGTTTTCTTTAACTGATGCTCTCCATGTTGAAAACTCTGCCTGAGATGGACTTAAGATAGAGCCCAGCCATGAGGCATGTGTGCTGTCACACACCAGCACTGCCCTGCCACACGTGTTCCAAGTGATGGCAGGATTCTGCAATTCTTTCCTGCCCCAGAATAAAACAATCTGATCAAACTTGTGGATTGTCACCATAGTCACAATTCTGGAACATTTTCTTCCCTTCTATATGAACGGGAGAGGAAGGGAGAATTCACACTACATGAGTGCCTACTGGATGACAGTCACTTAATATAATGTAATACGTCATTTACAAGGCCCAAGAGAGCTTGGCTGTCATAAAACTCCTGGCCATATTCATAGTCTGAAACTACTGAAGACTGTGAGGTTTGTATTAAATAAGCCAGTGCCTTTCTTGATGAATTCTGTAAGTTTGAAGTTTTAAAACAATTTTTTAAACTTGTGGGCTTAAAAATAACATTTATACCAATAATGTAGCAGGCTTGGTGAGACTGATTTCAGTGTGGTAATTGTGCTTTTAAAAGTACTGCTACATTGGGCAGAAGAAAAATGAGGAAGGGCGCTAAACCTAACATCATTCTTAATATTAATTTAGAATGTGGCTGAATTTCTCCAAAGAACCAAGCCATATATACACTGGACAATTTTTAAAAACTACATTTTGTAATCCAAGAGACTCAAAGCCATTTCTGCTTGAAAAATACAGATTTTTCTGTTACACTTGTTTTCGAAGTCCCTGATATAATAGAAAATCATGGCTTTTCCCTCCAAATAAGCTGCTAATGCTGACCCATTAAAGCTACCTTTATTGCTACTTCCCAGAATCAATAAGCCGCATCAGGGACTGAGTCATACTTTTTCATACCTTTCCTATTCATACAAATGTTTGAGGAGCACTGTCGTTTCACCCACCGGCGCCATAGACTCCAGGCTGGGTGTGCACCCACAGGTTAGGCTGGGAGGGAATGTACCATGCTGATGCTTTGATGATTTTTTTCCCCAATCAGGTTTGAAATTACTATGTGAAAAACTGTTAATGGACCTCCAATAAAAGTGTTTTAGTGGTCCCAAATTGAACTGGTACCAGAACCTCAGGGAACCTCTCTTCAGGACTATCTAGTACCATTTAATTCTCGATTCCTAGGTATCTCAAAGAATTAACGTGAGTGCTTAACCCCCCTCCAAGGACATCTGATCCACCAATTGACCGGTGGTGGTATTTTGCTTTAGAATTCAGATAGTGTTTAGGCACTATGTTCTAAGACTTCATACTATAATAACATTTAATGATTACCTAGTTAAAATATTTACTTTTGAATGTTCCAAATGCCAAATGAATCAATAGAAAAGAGAGAGAATGAGAACCCAAGAATCTAGGTTTCTAGTTATTTTTCCAACCTGCAAGTCACACTGGACCCACTGGGTGGTAAGACCAATTAAAATAAGCACAGCCCACTTACAATGATTTTGACAAAGTTGGCAGGAAACATGCCAGTCTGGTTTCTGCATTTTCCCCTGTACCACTCTGAATCTATTTTCTCGAGAAGATAAACAATTTCTCCAGATGTGAGGTTCAAATCATCAGCTTGCTCTGCAATATAAAATTATACATGATAAATTATTCTGGTTGCAGATTTGATTAAAGTAGAGAACAAATTAGCATCTAGCTCTGCCCACTGAGGCACTGTGTTCCACTAATTCTGAGAACAGATTATGCTAATCGAATTTACTTTTTCTACAATATTATTCTGGTTTTGGATTTTGACATTAGGAGCTCTCTCTCCCAAGACCAAATTAGATATATCTGTTATGCTCTGATTGATGAGAAATGCTTTAAAAAAAACCCAACACACTGTTGTGCTGGTTACTGATCCCTACTCCCTTGCCAAACACACAGCGAACAGTGAAAGAGTTTTATGGATAGAAACGAAATAAATGAAACTGATCATTATTTTCAATCATGCTTGAAAATCATTTCACCTTCAAATATTAACCAAGGAGTACGACAGCTCTTTAGCAAGTAAATTTACCCATATTAAGCCAAACTAGTCTACCAAGTGAGGAAAAAGGCTGTAAATAAATAAAGGGGTTATTTTTTATTTTACTCATAACCTTGGATATGAAGGGTATTCAAAAACGACTATAAAAATTTAATATTTTCGTCTCATGGGTAAGTAGTTGAGATAACTCTTAGAACAAAAGAATTTCAATTAAAATTAGAATCAATACTATTGTAATTGTTAATTAAGTACCCACTATTTTGAAAGAGTTAAAAAGTTTACAACTGGTAGGCAATTTGCTATTTTTCAATTGTATGGGAAACAGTTTCTCTCTCTCTCTCTCTCTCTCTCTCTCTCTCTCAGGAGTTCTAAAGGCACAGGTATGCAATTAAGTTTTCTGAATGGTTGGGCACAGGTGACCTGTGGCAACCTGAAGGTGGGTGATGGATAAGATGCCAGCCCCAGTCCAGGATGCTACAGGGACAGAAAATGAAGGATGTCTTTGAGCGGCTAACCCAGGGAGGACGCTTGGCTCCCAGATTCTATGACTGTATCAATTCATTATTGTCCTTACCTGCTGGGAAATCATGAAGAACGACGGCATGAGAAGCACTTCTGTCAACAGGCTCCTGAGGGCGGCCGGAATCCTGAGGGGGAAAACAGGGCTGTGAGTGAGGTGTGCAGCAGACACACTGGATTTGTTATTCACTCTGAGCCAAGTCTTGTTCTCACTAGAGTCCTCTTGACAGGATTCCGTTAGGAGCACAAGATCCAAACCACACAGGTGAGGTCAACACGAGAATCCTTATCAAGTTGAGAAAGAATGTGTCCTTGCCAGGGGAGGACAGAAAGAACTCAATTACAGTAGCTCCCTGAGAAAAGTAAAACAAAAGGGAACTGCTTAACTTTAAAAAAGAAAGTAAAAGAAGATTACTACTTATTCTGCCCCAAAGTAGTGGTTTTTGACCTCTTTCTCTTTCAAGGGTAGCTTTTTTTTTTTTTTTTTCCTGACTAGGACTACATTTTAAGACCACAGCCTTCATAGTTCTGTCTTTATTAGGATGGGAAAAGAAGAAAGTTCTGGATTTATGTTCTTGCTTTTGTAATGAAGGAAGCTAATGACTTCCCACAGATGTATAATTCACAAAAAATAGTCATTTCACTTATTCCCACTTAACTGAGCACGTCTCTAATTTGAAAGCAATACTACCTCTGTGCCTGGCCTTTCTATTTAATCGGAGTAGTTTATTCAACAGTGATTCTAAGTGAATTAGCAAAGAGAATGTAATGGCCTAGCTGGGCTAGAAGGAGAGGGTAAGGTTGGAGAGAGCTTTTCTTACTGACAAGCAGCTGTTCTGCTTAGTCTCTTTTTTTCTCTTTCATTCCTGCTCTCCCCCAGCTGGGGATGGAACCCAGGGCCTTGTGCATGTTAGACAAAAACACTCTACCACGGAACTACATCCCCTCTCCTTGGTTTTGTGAGGGTCTTACGATGTAGCCCAGGGTGGCCTCAAACTCATGATCCGTCTGCATTAGCCTCCTGAGTACTGGGATTATAGGTGTGCCCTACCACACCGTTTGTTTCTTAATATGAAGAGAGAAGGTCAGTCACATCACTATCATCATTGTCATAAAATCCAATTAAAGAATGTTATTCCTTTATTTAGCTTTTGCAGTGCTGGGGATCAAAGCCAGGGCCTCACACAAGCTAAGCAAGCGCTCTACTGCTGAGCTATACCCTGCGTTCCTGAATCATGTTGGGTTATAACTTAAAACTCTTCAACACTGGCAAACCTGTGAAATAAGGGAAGGCAGATTCTTGTGTTCTCTGTCTCTTTAGCTCCTTCAATGACTCTTGTCCCCTTAGGGACACAGGACATTTCTCCATCTCTGTCTTGTCTGTGGCCTAACCAGTCTGCACTGTGAATAATGGCCCACCCTCTCCCTTCCCACCCTCAAGCACTTCTGCTCAGATCTTTCTTGAACCTCACCTGCTTTTTCAACCACAATGCACTGCAGGGGAAACTGTACGTCTTAGGTCAGGTAAACAGCATGGAACTTAAGGCAAGACAGCAATGGCGATAGCAGCTGACTGTTTCAGCTCACGAAGGCGACACTAATGTTTTCTTAGAGACTACTCAATGTTTTTTCCTAAATAAGCAGCATTGAATTGTAGAAAAGAATCGCAAGATAGAGGACAAAGGAAGAAAGGGGATGAGACTGGAAATGTCATAATGAAACTCCCTGCATAGCTGTCTTGAATAGGTCCTGTCTGGGGGCTGGTACCAGGGGGAGGGGGAGGATATAAGGAAAGGGTGTAGGAGGGTAAATATGGTAGAAATGTTATGTATTTATGCATGAAAATGGAAAAATGAGACCTACTGAAACTATTCTAAGAATGGGAAGGGGGGATAAAGGAGAATGATGGAGGGGTGAATTCAACTAAGATATATTTTAACAACTTTTGTAAATGCCCCAGTACAACAATAATACAATAATAAAAAAAGAATTACAAGATACTTTAGGGGTGGAGTGGCTTTACAAGTTGTTATTCGTGTAATTATATGATTGTATGTGTGATTTTCCTCTTTTTCTGATTTATATCTGTGGAGAAAGGAAAGACTAATGCTCATTTAATTTAGTAAACATCTTTGAGACATAATTCACATACAGTTCATCCATTCAGAGTGTACATGGCCCTTGTATAGTCACAGAATTGTGTAGCCATCACCATAATCTAAGTTGAGGACATTTATAATCCCCAAAAGAAACGTCTTACACATTAGCAATCTCTCCCTACTCACCCTCCACACAGCACTTCCAATTGTCACCAATGGTGACAATTAAATGGCCATTGGAGGCCAATGCTCTGTAAGCACAAGATGAGAGGGTAGAGTGGAAAAACTCTGGACTATGATAAAAGAACTTATAATTTTCAGCTTTTATTTTTTGAAAACGAAAGGCAGCGTAACTCCCACTGTTACCATCAGCCAGCTCTGACAGGCGAGGGGCAGCTGGTACAGCTGGATAGTGCTAGACCAAGATGTAGAGAAGACAGCACTGGAGAGCTTTTCTTGTGAACTAGCTAGAATTCTCACATGCCAGCGGCAGCCAGCCGAGTGTATATCTTCTCCACTCTCCAAAAACACTAAGTTTTTAGTTTCTTGGCAGACTTCAAGATACATACTGCTTTCTAGGAAGAAAATTATTGGACCAGGTTATGACAATTAGGATGAATGCCAAATGAAATTCTTTACTTGGATTGAATGATTGGTGGGTATTATTTTTTTGTATACTAGATAAACTAACAGGTTAAGTTAAGGTTAAGTTACCTAACCTTAACTGGGTAACTTAGTATGGTTAGGGCTGGGGCTGTAGCTTGGTGGTAGAGCACTTGCCTAGTATGAGCAAGTCTCTGGGTTCAAACTCAAGCACCATTGCCAAAGCAAAACAGCACAACACATCACAACACAACACAAAATTCCTGCTAAACAAATGACCTTCAATCATCATTACCCAGCTCCACGAATTTCTTAGGCCTAAGTTGTGACTTGAGGATGTTATGTTCCGTTACATTTCATTATTTTCTAGCTAAAATCAGAGAAATGAGGCTGACATCAAGTTTACATCTTAAAGGGCTCAGTCTGTTTTGTCAGACTGAGTATTTATAGGGCCCTTTTAATGTAATTAGCCATTCTGCTAGAAAACTCATCTCTGGCATTTCAATCATGGAAACAGGTTTACATGACCGAAAGGACAAACAGCTCTCCCAGTCGAACATGAGTGAGCATCCGGGTTCCCATAAGCCAGCCTGACAAGAAGAAGGCAGAACACATGGTAGTCTCTCTGTGTATCAGAGTGATTAGGATGGAAGTGGCGAGTCTTTTAGAAGCAATTTGTTCTAAAAATGGAATAGAATGCTGCTGTAACTTTTACTCTGATTAAAATAACTATGCTAATAAAAAACCAGGGGTATGAGATATAATTAACAGTTGTATAAAATGTGCTGCGATGAATGATGCAAGGGCTATGATATTAATTCCTTACGAGTGGTCTGTTTCTAAGATGCTCACCAAGAGGAGTGATAATCGTCCCCCGAGACAGGGGAGCTCTGCAGGTACCTGCTCCTTTTTTCATTCTAACCATTATTTCTTGCCTGCTCCACCATTACAGGTACAGCCCTGCACTGTAAGGTACAATGCCACTCTCTGGAGCAATTACTATTCATAAAACATTATTACCTCTCCACCTTTTCTTCTTTGGAGCCCAAAGATGCCCAGAGAGGACAGGGATTTTCTCATCAATCAGGGAAGAGGCAGCTCTACCTTACCTTACAGGAGAGTTCTCTGGGGTTTTGTGAGACAATGTCTTCATTGGTGATTCCATGAGGCACAGACAGCTGAAATGCAAACCAGTGAAAGAATAATTCGCAATCAAATCTGATCATCTGGGGATTCTGTGTGTGTGCCTGAAGTCGACCTCTTGACCAGGTTGCTTCGTGCCCTAGATTGAGTGAGGCGTGCAGTTTATCACGGGTATTAAAAGCTCTTGAGAGGGGACTGAACCCACAGGACGAGGAGGGCAGAACGCAGTCCAAAGTCCCTTTAGCAGTCACAGCCAGGACGTTCCATTTGACAGGAAGGTCCACCCTGGGACTGAAGAATCAATAGTCAGCACCTCACCCCACAGCCTCAGGGCACGTGTTTAGTTCAGGGCTAGCAAGGTGGCTCCCTTCTGAAGGCTGACAGGTGACTGGACCTCTCCCCACTGTGCCTGAATGACAGCTTTCATTTGCTCTGAACCTCATCTTCCCCGAGTTCCCCTTGTACTCAGTATTTACCTGCTTAAACCTGCTTTAGTGCCTGACTCCCACTGCTTCCTAGTGCCCTCAGCTCTGTGTGACCTTAGAAAGACTTTTAATCTGTGCCCCGCCCTGGACTGAGTTCTGTTCCCTGCTTGGTTAATTTTGGCCGTTGAGTGAAGGTGAGAGGGTCTGTATAATATACAAGGCATACCCAGGCAAAGTAATCCCACAGGATCCCTTCCACCATGGAAAAAGAGGCTGGCTGGGCCCTCCGACCGCCCAGAGGCAAAGCTACGGGTATAGCCTGCACGGCTGGCTTGAGTGATCACTTCCTGGCAGCTCCACAGAATCCCAGGGCTCACAAGGTACTCAGATTCCTGCCCAGAGATCTGATGGTATGGTAGCCATGGAAAAATATGGGGGGACTTAAGAAATTGTTTCTTAATGAGATGCATCATTCTAAATATACCATCAAGGTGAATGTATCCATTTCTTGGAGTTCTTTAGTGCTTTACTGACATTATACAGCTATGTCAAAAACCCTAAGTGAAACCTGGTTCCCCCAAGTAAGGGGTCTTAGCATAGAATGGTCAAAAAGTTAACACTAGTTAACTAGTTAACAGTGTGCTCACAGTATGGCATAATGATGGGGAGCGTGGCTCAGAGCAAACTGGTCTGTGTTCAAATCTTAGTTCCATCACTAGCTGGCTTAATCTCTCTTATTTTCCTCATTTGTACAACAGGGGTCATAACGTATCTAATTTACAATATTAGCATGAGGAATAAATGTCTTATTTAACACATATATATACATATACATACATACACACATACATATATATTAAAAATGCCACATCAACTACCACTTTTATTTGTTTATCAAATAATTTATCCAGAGAATACCCTTGGGTTTTAGCAATTACAGTTTCATCAGTTTGCATCTGCTCTTAGTCAAAAGGCCAAAAAAGAATGGTTTCATTGGTTGAAATGAGTATGAATCTATTACCTCTTCCTTATTTGTCTATTCCCTTCTCAAAGGAGGATTAGCCCCCTCTCTCCAAATGCTTAACATAAGAATAATTTCCGGTTCAATGGTGGAAATGTAGAACAATATAAAATTATGAATTGCTATTTTAGTTAAGAGCTATTCTGTCATACACCTACTTAAAAAGTACAAATAGTCCTGGTTCTTATTATTTTCATTTTGTAAAAGAATTTATCAGGTTAACCTGACCAAAGTAGAGAATGCATTGACTCTGTTTCTCATCTTTGGAAAATGAAGACAAAAGTCATTCAAAGAAAATAAAATTAATACCTCGTCTATCACTGGATGTGGGAGGCAGAGGCAGGCGCATTGTAAGTTCAAGGCCAGCCTGGGCTACAAAGTGAGATCGTGTCTAAAAACCCAAATCCAAAAAAACTCCCTGAAAATACCCCCTTCCCCCACAAACCCCTCACGATCTCAATTAGTGATGAAAACTTTTCACTAGCAGCTGCTAAATGGGCCATGATAATTAGGCTTACAAAGTGGAAAAAACTCAGGAAAATCTGCTCATCTTAATAAAACTTTACTGCTTCATTTTAAATGTGACTTCATGGGCAAAGTCGGCTAGGTGACATAGTTTATATCAAGCTAAATGACAGTTACTCCCCTTAACATGGAACCCCTGGGTCAGGTTTTTCAGTTTCTGTTTGGTCAAACCAATTAGCAAGGTACACTCCTTGTCTGTCTGCTTCCTCTTTCCCCATATTTCTCCTAAAAATGAAACCCTGCTTTAAAGACTTAGGTTTTATTAAGTCGGTTTATCTAAAGCACTCTTAGGGTCAAGGAACAATGCCACGTTCATTTCCCCATCTTCTCTTAAGAAAGAATGGGTCCTCTGCATATCTGGGGAACCTCTAAATTTACCATGTACTTCCTGTAGAGAGGGTGTCCCGGCTTGGGGCGAGGGGGCAGCACCGGATCTTGATGTTTAAAGACTTGACTCTTGGCTTTGGAGAGTCCAGACATCAAGTGACTTTGTTTTCTCTGAAGATCCATGTCAGAGGAGGACCGATTAAAAGGCAGCTTTTTATTTGATGATTTGGTGGCAGGAAGTTTGGGTGGAGGTGGTCTCTCAGGGGCCCCTTTGGGAGGAGGCCGTCGAGTTGGGATGGCTTTTCCATTTACAGGTCTGAAAGGCGATGTGATAGCCACGAGTCAGTGTTTTGATGGGTGGTAGCTCTGTGTGCCCTTCCTTACACACACACACACACACACGCACACGCACACGCACACGCACACGCACAGCCTCTGCTAGTGGAATACAGTTTACTGAAACCTGCAGCCTTTGCTATTTTTGAGCAAACGGTTATTGCATTGAACATTTTGTAACTAGAGGAAATGCCATCCTGTCACAGCTTCCTCTTGTCTCGAACTAGAGATTCCTTAGCTCAAGACAAACAAGCGTTTCCATCATGGGCGCTCTCAGGCACGCCATGACTATTTTGGGACAATGAGCGCTTTCTACCGACGCTTGAGATGAAAACTTCTAATAAGATATCAGGTGTATGTGCTGGGGTCTTACTGTGATTAGAAAAGGAACGCCAGGATCCCTAGTGTGTGTGTTATAGGAGCGGCTATGAAAACTCCCGCTTAGATTACCATGAATCCCTATGACAGAAACAAATTGCGGCAATGTGTTCTGATAGCATCCCAGCCTTTTGTCCCGACAGCTCTGGAACTCAGAAGCCAGGTCACCTGTGACTTCAAAAGTCTGTCTCCTTTTAGAAATGTCAAAATCCAGGCCTGCCTCCTGTAAGCGGGAGTGTGTGTGTGTGTGTGTGTGTAGTCTGGAAGTGAACTTGGGTCGGGTTGGGAACCAAGTCTTGTTCATTTATTTAGGAAAAGGGAGAGATCCACGTTTGTGCTCTGTAAGTTTTGGACCGTGTTAAAAATAAAAAGGAGAGAGCTTTCTATACTCTGTTGTCACAGAAGATGATGGTGCGGTGGCCTGGATGAATCTGAGCTTATTTTATCTGTAAAAGATCTAAGGCCCATGACACTCGGTCTGGATGGTTCAGCCAGTGTCTGTGCCATTAGTTTTTCTTTAACTTTTCTCACAGTACTTACCTTGGTGGCAACCTGGGGGGTCCTCGCACAAAACCTCCTGATTCACCAGTGGGGTCAGACGCCTACAAGTTTCAGAGAATGCTTTTTAATCAAGATTAATCTAAAACAAGAGCTTGGCAAGAGGAATTTTGGACAGCTTGGCTAGTCTGTAAGTAGAAATGGATTGAGTCATACAAAATACCTGAAAAGAGTTTTCAGCCCGTATTAACTCACTGCTTACTCCTACAAATTACCCATTCCTAATACAGGTAGAAAAAACCCAGAGGAAGAAAACCATGATGTCCTGGCTATGCGCCCAGTGCCCCATGAGATATGAAGGGGTGACATGTAAACCAGGGTGGGTTAACACAGGAACAATTTAAGCAGGCACTGTATGGAATGAAACAAACATTTGGTATTTAATCATTCCAACTATGCACAGGAAACACAGTGGTCCTGAGTTTAAACACATGGTAAAGTGAAGAGGTTATTATTTACTTCCTTTGAACAGGAAGATCTTATCTCCTCACTGGATAGTTTCAACATTTTGCAGTGTTTTTTTTTTTTTTTGGGTGGGGGGGCAGTGGGGCCGGGGTTTGAACTTAGGACTTTACACTTGTAAAGCAGGCACTCTACCACTTGAGCCACATCTCCAGTTCATTTTGCCTGGTTATTTTAGAAATGCGGTCTCATGAACTGTTTGTCCAGACGCCTTGAACCACGATCCTCCTGATCTCAGCCTCCCAAGTAGCTAGGATTACAGGCATGAGCCACTGGTGGCCGGCTTGCAATGGGTTTGAACTAAAAGCTAGTGGGACCGTAAAGAAGCAGAAGGGGTGGCCTGAAGGAAGGCTGGAGAGGAGAACAGAAGACATCCAAGAAAGGTGTTTGCACCAGCACAGCAAAGGGGTCAGATGGGCAGAGGGAAGGGGGCAAGGTGGAAGGTTAAAGGTGGGTGGAGTTAGCCCAACAGCAGACAAGAGGACATGGAAGGAGAAGAGTCCCAGGAAGGTTTCTCTGCCCTCAGAGAAACCTCAACTGTTCTCTCTACATAGGTTTTCTGAGCATGCTGGAGCCAGGGTTTGGGAAATGAGCACAAATATTTTTGTATCTTCTGTTGTGGGAAGTTAGAAGATCTCAAAGCCAAAACATCTGTGGTTCTTTTTGAAACAAAAATTCTTCTAATTTTTGTTTGTTTGTTTGTTTTAATATCCTACTAAGACCTGCTTTTCCTTTCCTACTTTTTAATTACTTATTTATTTTTGTGGTACTGGGGTTTGAACTCAGGGCCTACACCTTGAGTCACTCTACCAGCCCTTTTTTGTGATGGGGTCTCGTAAATTATTCGCCTGGGTCTGGTTTTGAACCACGATCCTCTTGAGCTCTGCCTCCTGAGTAGCTAGTATTACAGGCATGAGCCACTGGTGCCCAGCCTTTCCTACTTTTTAAGAGCCCAACATGACACCCAAGAAATAATATTTCTAGAAGACCTCACAGGGGGAAAACTGGGAGATGCTTAAAATTGTAACGGGGGCTTAATGATAGCTTGGGAATCTTTGTGCTGTTTTCCTCTGTCTTATCTTATAAGCGAGTTATAACTCATTTTGTGATTTTTCATCTCATGCTGAGATTTATAACTTTTCCTTAAACGGCAAAGATTAATTGCTAGTAACAGTGCTCACTTAAACACATTTCAATGTTTTAAAATCCCATTTTAAAAAACAAATTAAGCTTGCTTTTAAAACTTGATTTCACTAATGAGCTCAGTTAATGTAGTGAGGCAAGTCGCCAGTTCATAAACCTGCAATATTCCAGAACATAACCCATGTCTTCTGAATAGGCTGCTGCCTGGATTTCTTCCTGACAATACAGCAATGATAAAATGCACTTCTTTGGTTGCTTTTAAACAAACTCTAGCAGATAGGAAGAAACTTTATTTCTTCTTTTTTTTTTGGCAGTACTGGGGTTTGAACTCAGGCCCTTGCACTTAGATGCTCTACCACTGAAGCTATACTCCAGCCTTTTTATGTTAGACATTTTTCAGATAGGGTCTCTCATTTTTGCCTGTGGGCTTGGGCAGTGATCTTTCTGCTTAGGCCTCCCATGTAGCTGAGACCATAGACTTGGTTGACATGAAGTCTTGCTAGTTTTTTTGTCCAGGTTGACATTTAACCTCAAGCCTCCAAATTCTGCCTCCCAAGTAGCTGGGATTACGGACATGAGCCACCACACTTGCTGTTTTTTTTTTTAATTCAGGGTCTTGGTATGTATCCTAGGCTAGCCACCTTCCTTAGCCTCGCAAGTGCTGGGATTACAGGTGTGGACTATCATGCCTGATTTAGGGAGAAATGTTTATTGCTTTTCTCAAAATTAGAGTTGTTACATTCTTTAATAATTAAGGATAATTTTAAAAAGAATATTAACATATAAATGTGACACGAGGAGGTATAGATGATATATTGTAATAAGTACATAATATATTCTCCTAATTTCGATCCACTATTTGCTGTAGTTTTTTTTCCCCTGGGTAGTGATATTCTTTTGTTTTGTGGTGCTGGGGCTGGAACATGGGGCCTTACACATGCTAGGCAAGGCTCTACCACTGAGCTACACACTCAGCCCAGTGGTGCTACTTTTGGTAGGAGACATTAATGTTTAATTTCTTGATTTTCTAGAGCGAGTAAATTTTAAATCAGAATAAAAAGGTCAGTACAGGGATGTTAGGAGCATTCTGAAAGGCTTTGCCATACCTGCCATACCTGACCTTCTCCAAACACTGACACAAGGGCCATTGTCTTAGTGTTGCTCAGGGGTCACGTCCAGGTTCTGCTGACACCATCGGAAGATGACTGATTAGGGATTTCCTACTCTTCAACACAGCACACATAAATTGAAGCCTTCCTCCATCTATTTTTTGGTAGCTTTTTTTTTTTTTTCTAGTTTGACATCTATGAACTTTGACATTTGGTGTGTTTGGCTAAGCATTTTAATTCCTGACAAAGTTACTTTTCCTGCTTGTGTTGTCTCTGAAGACGCCATCTTTTTGTTCATCTGCATTATTATTATACTTTAATTTCAGAATAATTCCCCAGTTTTTTGTTTATTCCCCAGTTATTTCTCATTTAAAAAAGAGAATTACAAGAACTGGTCCTGCTTCTTGCGTCCTGAGTTCAAAATCAGCCTGTCCTGCACACACACTCCTGCTGCTGTGCTCTGTCTGACTGCTTACGTACACTATGTAGTATCTCCCCACTCCCGTGGACCAGTTGGTGGCTTCCTTAGGGGACTCTTTGAGAGCCCTGTGTTCCCATGATAGGCAACAGGCACACAGGTGGCTGCTGCTGCTGGCAGAATCCAGGCACAGTGGCTCTGGCTATGACCCTGGAGTCCCTCGTCACTTAAGTGAAGAAAGTGTAGTGTAACAACTGCAGCCACCTGACCCTCGGATGGGAAGTCCCCCAGCATGCAAGTAGTAGAGAGTTTTGGTGCTGTCCTGCAGAGAATGCATTCAGTAACTAATTCTCAAACAAAAGGAACACCTGAGGCATTCCGCTGACTGGCTGAGTCTCTAGAAATTCCTACATGTGACTTCAGGCAAATCATCTAAACTGTGGTCTGTTCCCTCATCTTTTCCCGTCAGACTCTGTGTCTATTACGCCATGCACTTACGGAGGTACAGACCACTCTACCTTCCTCTGTACCAGCGCGGGGCGGGATTTCCCCGTGCTGCCCACGGAGGCCCAGACACACGTGGAAGGTTTAGTCTGGCTTCCTTTTCTTGTTTTTCTACAAGGCGGGAGTCACTTGTGGACTGCTTAATGCTGCGTGCAACAATACCTAATATTTCAATGGGCCTTTGAGGACCACGGAGCCATTGCCTCCCTCACTGAAGGGCGTGCACGCCCACTCACCAACTCTCAGGTCCTCTCAGAGCAGAAGCCAGGCACCTTCTCAAGCGACGATCCCTCCAGGGAAGTCTGGGGTTTTTCCACTCAACAGCACTATGAGAGGGGAACGTCTGTCCTCTTTTGGGCTTTCTTGGCCCAGTTTTAATAAAAATTTATTACCAAGTACTTTGAAAATACAAGTGATCACTAAATTTTAATTCATCGTACGGAAAGTCTCATTAACTTGGTGCTGGCTAATTTAATTTAATGTCTTCTTGGAAGAAATCTCTCTTCACTGAGTGATTAGACGGGTTTGCCTGTATGATAAGCACAGTTAACGTGCAGGATTATAACTAGTATAAAATCCGAACTGAAAATTTGGCTCAAAGAATTTAAGAATTGATTTCTCTTGAAATGAGCCTTTAATATCATCCACCAAGTGGAAAAATTTTAAATGCACGAGGTTGAAATTAAAAGTATATGTTAAAACGTCTTTGACCATCATCTTAACAAATATACAATAAAACATTATTTTTTGAATTAAAATTTTTTTCTTAAATTTCAGATTACACATTTACTAGGGTAATTATCTTAAATTATTTAGTTAAATTAAATAAAAATGGACAATTTTGGGCTGATGGGGTGGCTCAAGTAGTTAGAGCGCCTGCCTAACATTAAGGCTCTGAGTTTAAACCATAGTAGCACCAAAAACAAAACAAAAACAAACAACGAAAAAACTGGGCAATTTTTCTAACTCTATTTCCACAAATATTAAACATTTCTTGAGATTTTTAATGACCTCATCATTAGCACCTTTTAAAACACAATGTCATCGTATTGATACAGGACAAATTATTTTATAATGAAGTATGATGAATTAACCTAATCTCTCTATGGGGACTTTTAAATCATTGCACATCACAGTTAGTACTTGAGGCTTAGTAGTTGTTTTCTTTCTTCTTTATCTCTCTCTCTCTCTCTCTCTCTCTCTCTCTCTCGCTTTGACAAGGTCTCAGTATGTAGCCCAGACTGGCCTTAAACTCTTGATCTGCTTGCCTCAGCCTCCTGAGCTGGGATTACAGGCATGAGCCACCATGCCTGGCGGAAATTGCTTTCTCTTTGATCCAATGCAATCTGTAATGATCACTTACCAGGCTTCTTGCTCTGTCAGTATTACTTGGCTTTCCAGACACTATTCCGTAAGTGTTTCCAATAGGTTTTTCAGCAGGGAGAGGAGGTGGGGTTTGTGGTTCTTCATGTAAACCTGGGAAAAAACAGCAGTAACTCATCAGCAATGTCTAGTCTGAGATCCCAAAGAATGGAACGATCACAGCTTGGCTCCTTAGGAAAATGGCTGTCATAAAAGACCTGCATAAAGAACTGACAGTTAAACACTCCTTTGAGGTGAAGGAGCTCTCAAAGCCCCAGAAAATCGAGGCGTCAGTCAACGTCAGGAAATTTTATTATGTGTCATGGGTGAAATTTTGCCACGCTATCCCCACAGCTGCCGGCACGGGCTCGGGCACTCTGCCTGTTCCTTTGACCACCATCTGCACTGGATCTGCCTGCTCCACCAGCTCATAGCCAGTTCAGCGCCAATCTTCATTCATTAGCATGAAGTAAAACTGAAATTTCAGCTCCTCGGTTGCACCAACCACAACCCCAGCCCTCAGCGGCTACTTGTGGAGCGCAGATGGAACACTTCGATCTTCACAGAAAGTTCTATGGCCAGCGCCACCCTAGGGAACAGCCTGTGCATTTTACAGATGAAGAACCTGAAACCAGGGGCTACCCGAGGTCCTGATGTCATTGTCAGATTTTTTTTTTTTTTTTGGTTTTGAACCCAAAAGCCTGTGCTTGTTCTAATAAGACATGTTGATTACAGTTTGTGGACCCAGCCGTCCCTGATCCAAAATAACCACATTTTCTAATTCATTTGTCTAGATTAATAAACATAGTGAAGGACGGATTGCAGGAGGTCCCAAAAGGTGATAGGTGGTCAAGGAGACACCTCTCCTTCCCAGGAAACCTCCATCTACACCTGAGAGACATCTCTGCCCTCAGGCAATGCAAAAGGCAATGCAAAAAAACCCCAATCTCCAACCTGACTCACCCCTGCATTCCCTGCCATGCAGTCTTGCTCTTCTCTTCTCTACAAATAAGATCTTTCAGACCTCTGCTCCTGAAGTCTGCCGGTGCTTTCATTCTCAGAGTGGGCTCAAGAACCCTAAGCACCTGAAATTCCTGCGCATGTCATCTGTGCATCAATAATTAACCCCAATTAAACAAACAATACCTTTAAATCCAAGCTACAGCCACATCTCTGTAACAGTGTACTCCCAACTTGTGTTAAAGGAAGAAAGCAAAGACGATCAGAATTAATTAGAACCAGCTAATTAAAATCTGTGTGCACAAATACAGGGAGCACAGTGACTGTAACCCACTGAAGAAGGCGAGTCACCTCTCATGGGGTTGGCTGAGGCACTGAAAGGACATGGGGACACTCATTTGTCCAAATGGACTGTCCTATTTCTATTCTGCAGGAATGACCTGTGACAAGAGGAGGCTCTGTGAGGCGCCTGTTTCATCCACAGACAGGAAAACGTTCTCAAAGGTAGGAAAATACCCGGCTGACTGTGGGGAAGGCAGTGATTAAGATTGGCAAGCATTCTCGGCGAGCGCAGGGCTGCCCTGGGAGTTAGATAAGATGCACACGGGCCACCTGTGCATCTTCACAGTCTCCACACAGCAGACCTTCCCCTTCCTGCACTTTCTGGTTCTTTTTATTTTTGGTGATATTGGGGTTTGAACTCAGGGCCTGGCACTTGCTAGGCAGATGCTTGAACCACTTGAGTCAAGCCCCCAGAACTTTCTTTTTTTTTTTTGCTTTAGTTTTTTTCAGATAGGATCTTATGCTTTTTGCTGGAGGCCAGCCTCAGACTTGACCCCCTATCTATTCCTCCCGTGTAGCAGAGCTTGCCCAGCTCATTTGTTGAAATGGGGTCTCGCTAACTTTTTGTCTGGGCTGGCCTTGAATTGCAATCCTTCAGATCTTTGCCTCCCAAGAAGACGAGATTATAGACATGTACCACCATACCTGGCCTGCACCTTCTGATAGAAGTAATGGATTACATTTAATACCTTGGAAGAAATATTTAAGAGTACAAGGTAGCAATGTGCAGGTAGTGAGGAGGGAGCTTACAGGCAGGAGGGGGCATAGGGAGTGAGTGTCGGGTATGTGAGTGACGAGCTCTGGAGAGAGGAGACGTCTAAGTTCAAATAATCTGGGCAGTAAATGTAGCCCTGAGGAACAATGGCATTTGTGTAAAGACCTGAAGGAGTGGCAAGAGAAGGAGCCACCCAGACCTCTGGGTCAGAGCCTCCCCTGAGAAGAAACAGGTTCCAAGGGGGAAGGAAGCCGCTCCTTCCTTCCCTGTCTGTCCCAACTTCCCCAGCACTAGAAGTCTCTCTCTTTTTCCTCTGCGTGGCTTAGTGACTGTGCTGATAGAGCTCTGGGGAGATGGTTTTTCTTGAAAGCCACTCTTCAGAAGCCACTGTGGCATGACACTTCTCTCCTACACAGTGGTCTAGAACTCAACCTTCTCACAGGAAGCTTGGTCAGGCAAATAACTCAGGGTGCGTCCTCGGCCTGTCCCTTCCAGGACTTTGTTAGCAGGCTTGAAACCACTGTCCTCAGAAGTCCCGCTGACATGGTTGGTCCCTGGCTGGCCTCTGGAGACTAGGATTTAGGACAGTTTCCACTATTCTGAGAAAACCACGGGAATGTGCCTTTTGTTGAGTGGTTTCCCTCTGGGATTTAAGTTTAATGCATCCAAAACTCCTACAGGTGGCTCTGGGAGCAGCACCCAGTAACCACCCAGGCCAATGACTTTTTACACCCGCTGTCCCAAGTCCTTGTGTGAGAGTTCAGTATGTCCTGTGTGGCCCATGCTGGAAGACTCTGGGAAGCTTAGACCTTGTTCCCTCAGGGTTTCACACCATCTGCCTTCTCCCTTTACTGATTCAGCCTCATTTACTTTTCAATAATTCTTGTTACTGTTGTTTTTGAGAAACAGCCTTGGTACTTAGCCCAGGGTAGCCTTCAATTTGCAATCCTCCTGCCTTAGCCTCCCTAGCACTGGGAACATAGGCGTGCACCACAATGCCTGGCTGTCTCATACACTTCTGCTGTACTCAGACTATCCTCTGAGTCCTGTGAGGCCTCCTAGTGAATCATTAAACCTGGCGGTGTGGTGGCACCAACCCAACACGGATAAACGTAAGTACATGGCCTGTGGGTGTAATCAGTGGTAGGGTGCTTGCCTAGCACGTGTGAAGCTCTGGGTTGATCCTTAGCATGGAAAAAGTGACAAAACAAACTCAAAAAAGTTGTGCTACTGTTAGAAATATCTTTAAGATATTGGGGTGTCATGAGAGAGACAACACAGCTCAGAAGTCACTAGGCAAGGCAAAATTTACTTCTGCAGAAGGGCACATACCAGAGTCTGGGAAGCAAGCACACCAGGCAGGAAGTCCACTTGGGTTTTATCTCTAACGCAATGCTGCCCCTCCCCTGGATTGGGCAGGTTTCAGGTTCATGGTCTACGTGGTTGGCTAATTAGAAAGTGGCCAGGTCCAGAGGGGGCTTTGGGAACAAAGAAGTTTAAAAGTTCAGGGAAGTAATAACTGTTTTAGGTTATCAGCTACAGAACCAGGGCATGTAGCAGAATTTTGCCCTGGCTGGTCTGAGGATAACAATTCTTTGTTCTTAATAGAAACTTTTATCAGGTTAAGCAGAGTCCATGAAGCTAATGTATGGGAAGTGCAGTTATTACTGATTAAATCTCTTGACAGAAAAGACCCAGCCTAAGCTGATTCTGATAGTTACTTAAAACCCATATTAATTTCCAGCAATACTCATTGATGGTATTTCACCATGCCTGGTAAAATCAGAATACACTTAACAAGGTAACAGGAAATAGGCAAACATGGATTAGCTATCATTTCACTGATTTCTGGGCTACTTAACACTGCCAAAGAAATGATTCCACCTGATCTTTAATCTAACACTACAATGTAACTTCCTGAGAGGCGAGAACCTGCCAGAATTTGACACGCTTGCCTTTTCTCCTCTTCATTCTTCATGGCAACTCTGTTCAGTTCTCTCACTGCTGGGCTGAGAGTCATCAGTTAATAACAAAACCATCAGGACACTAAAGCCAGCATGATCCTTGGGAAGGACTGTGCAGAAAAGTCAGCAAACAAAGTAAAGGGGTGCCTACAGATGAACCTGCGGTGTGTCATGGGAGAGGCCTGGGGCCTGGCTCAAGTGGTAGAGCACCTACCTAGCAAGCATGAGGCCCTGAGTTCAAACCCTAGTAACACCTACCCCCCAAAATTCTATCCATCGTCTGTCAATGACCTAAAATAAACACTTCTGGTCTTTTTGGTTTTTCCCTTAAAATAAATATTGTAAAGCTCATACAGAATTTCATTCAAAAGAATCAAGTAAGGAAGTATATCAAAGTGTAGTGATATACTAATTTAAAAAGTATCTTTATTTAGCAATTGCACCATTATAAGAAGAAAAACATATATATCCATATCTATAGCTATCTACTTTTTTTTTTTTGGTTAGGACCAGGGTTTGAACTCAGGACTCCACATTTGCAAAGCAGGCAGGCTCCCAATTGAGCCACACCTCCAGTCCATTTTGCTCTGGTTATTTTGGAGATGGGGGTGTGTGTCTCATGTATTGACTTTGAGCTGTGATCCTCCTGATCTCAGTCTCCCAAGCAGTCAAGATTACAGGTGTGAGTCACAGCGTCCAGCTTGTTACAGGTTTTTAGAGCTTCGGGTACAGCTCTTTACACAATTCACGGTGGCCATATTTAGATCATGTTGATGAGCCAGCCACTCCTTTCAGACACGGATAACTTGAGATTCAATTACTTTCCCACTGCCCATCTTTACTAGGGGTGCTAGCATGGGGTGCCACAACTGTCCTGAGATTCAGCCTCCTTCTACTCTGTCTGCCTGAAAATGACCTGAAAGAACGATGAAATACAAATTTACTGCACTAATTATCCAAAGAGCTTTGGGAAAACACCTCCTTCTGAATGTCCATAACTGAGAACAATAAATGACAGTCACACATAATTCCAAAAGCAGACATTGACAAATTAGCATGTATGTCCCCGGGCCCTGGGAGAAGCAAATAAGGAAGCAGAGACATGCTTACATTTTCCTGGTTTGGCTGGGATTCGGATGACAGTGGGCTTCCTGGTGGCTGCTGGCTGAACTGCTTTTTCTTTTGTGGATTCTGTTTTTGTGGGGAGCTGAAAGGGATCTAATGGAAAACATGGTTGATTTTGCATGTTTTAGTTAACACGGATTCAAACAAAAAACCTCATTCATAATTTAAGAGCCATATCTTTCACGCCCCAGGGAAAACTATTCATGGATAAACAAAATCTCAGTTTGCAGAGACAAAAACAAAGTTGGCACTCATAAAAGAAAATAATTTAGTGCTCTGTAAATAATTCATATGGCTTTTCTTCCTCTCTGATGAGAGAGCTGGCACCATTCCAAGTTATTAGAAGCCATTTTTGAGGGCAGTGTAACCATCTTACAAGTGGCTGCCTGAAAACAGGACCAACAGAAACAAGATGACAATCTTTCCGATTGCAAAGCCTCCCTGCCCGGTTCCCCCAGGTTGGAAGGACCCCCTCTCTCCCACATCCTTCCCCTGTCACAGGCTCACCAGGGCCCTGTCCTCTCAGATCCCCACCTGGCACAGTGAAGGGGACCAGGCACGTCAGTGGCATGAAAGGGAAACACATCTTATTCCAGGATAAAATAAGACATCTCTCTTCAAATCTTTAATTTTGGGGCCAGGATATAGGACTTAGCATTTCTCCATCTTAACTGATTTAAAATATTTTATATTAACATATTATAGGTTAAGTTATTTTATATTAATATTTTACATATTAATAAATTAAATATTTTAAACTATTTTTACTGAAAGAAAATTTCTTTAAATGTTCTTTTCAGTGATTTGGATGAGAAAGGATTTTGTTTTTTTTTTTCTTTTTTCCTTTTTTTTCCGGTGCTGGGGACCGAACTCAGGGCCTTACACTTGCCAGGCAAGCACTCTTCCACTGAGCTAAATCTCCAACCCCTAGTGATTTGGAAAAATGACAATTTTTTTTAAAGATGAGGAACCTAAAAATAAACAGATTAGCAAAAATAAAATAAAATGCTCTGTAACAGAAACTCTGTAGTGTGCATGGGTCTCCCGAGGCTGCCTCTGTGAACCCACAAGGGGCAGACCGGGTGGTGTCTAGATGCCTACTCTCCTTTTATTTTTTTTTTGCTTTTGAAGTTTTTTTTTTTGTAGTACTGGGGTTTGAACTCAGGGCCTCACGCTTGCTAGGCAGGTGCTCTACCATTTGAGCCACTCTGCCAGCCCTGTCTTCTATTTATTTTTAATTGTGTTAGCTGCTCTTTAATCACATGTAATGATTCTGCTATAATTACAGCAGGTCTCTGCGAAAAAACTCCTTTCTCCAGATGGTGAGGCAAAGAAAAACCTTTATGGATGATGGTGACCAGGTCTCTCTTGTGCTATATCGTATGAAGCTCACTTTTTAAAAGTATTTTTGGTGGTGCTGGGGATGGAACCCAAGGCCTTGTGCAGCCTTATGTATGCTAGGCAAGCACTCAACTACTGCTCCATGTCCCCAGCTCCTGAAAGTCACTTTTTAAGTCTTTGCACGAGAGGCCTACTTTTCCAACAGAAATGATAAGTGGCAATGTATAAAGCAAGGACGCGCTTCTTATTTGGGAGCTACTGGCCCTGCCAGGTAAGAAAGCCGACCAGTGGTTACTTGTTAAAATATTTACAGCTCACTGGGCATTGGTGGCTCACGCCTGTCATCCCAGCTTCTTGGGGAGGCTGAGATTAGGAGGGTCACAGTTCCAGGCCAGCTCAAGCAAAAAATGTGTACTTATATCAAAGCAAGGAGCTGAGGGGGAAGCAATTCTCTTTCTGGGGCAAAGATGACAAGAAATAACTCCGTTTCTTTCAGCCTAATCACACTTCTGTTCTCTTAAGAGAAGATGATTTGCTGTACATGGTGGTGCATCTCTATAATCTCAGCTCTCGGGAAGCGAGGCAGAAGATCTCGAATTGGAGGTCAGTCTGGGCTCTATAGTAAGTTCCAGGCTAGCATGGGCTAAATAGTGAGACCTAGTCAGGAAGGAAAGGAGGGAGCGAGGGACAGAAGGAGGATGGGGTGATTGGTTAACTTAAATGGGATAAAAGGTGTATCTATCTATCTATCTATCTATCTATATCTACATACACTGAACATGTAAACACATGTATACAAATGTATATATATACATATATATGGTGAAAACCAGTCCCATCCTCTCCTTATATACCCCTCCACACACATTCCATATGACTTTTGACACAAACAGCTAAAAACCCACAAAAACTATTCTGTATCTTGCATTGTTCACCTAATAATTGGAAGTTGGCCCACATCAAGCAATAAGGAGTACTTCTTAGTTCCCACACAATACTCCACTGTACGGGAGTCCCAGAATTTATTTAGGCAATCCAAGTCTATTTCTTGGGCTCTTAATCTGGAGCTCAGGAAATGCTGGGTGTCCTGGAACCTCCAATTGTACATACAAGTGCTAAGGAACAATTGTCAGGGGACATGAGAGGTTCACAGGTGACATCAGAGCCTCAGAATTCTGTGATCTGGAAAGGGTGAGCACCTCGGCCACAATTCCGTGGGATTATTTGCTCTTGCTTCTGTAAGACACAGGAACAATGGCTCACCCACATCTAAGGAGGCCAGTGGCATTTCCTTTGCTCTGACTTGCAGTGTTTATTCTCCTTCCTTCCAGCCCTCACACAGTCACTCTACACACTGCCAAATAAGCAGCCCCTTCCACCTCTCTCCCATGGTCCTCCTTCCTGGGTTGACAAGGGCCCCTGCACACGAGGTAGTTCTCTGCCCATTACCTGTCTCTAATGATACACTTGTCACCATCAATAGATTCCCCATCCCTGACTTGCTCGTCTGTCACTTCTTTCCCCAGGGTTCTGTTAAAAGCAGAAGTTGGCTAAACTATTCCTCTCCGTACACGTCTGTGTATGGGTGACAGCAGATACACTGTGCCTTTTGTGACAACCGGGTGTGATTTGGAATGTGTGAAGCTGATTTAGTTGTAACACTTCCCAGCCCATTATGTTAACCTAGAAGGCATTCTGCCCAAGAAATGAACCTGATATTAAATTGCTGCGTTATGAGTTTTCCTTTAATCATCGTCCTAATCTCTACACTGTTTTCATAGCCTCAGTATTTTCTGATCTCTATTTTGGGAGATTAATATGCACCTTCATTTTATGAACACTATTTTATTAGGGTTTCCTGAATTTTACAGGAAAGACAGAGAAGGAAAGGCATTTGTGACTCTCCTTACACTTACGTTCCTCTCTGGGTTTCTGACTGATGCTGGGTGATCAGGCAAGATCTCACCAAGACCATAGCTTAAATTATGATGACATTACCATAGAAATGCCGCCAGAATCACAAAGCCCCACATCGATAAACAAAATCCCTTTCAGGGCTCCAGCTGATCCTAAATGCTCTGGAGGGGAACAAGTAGACAAGCCACAAGGGCCAGCGTGTGCTCTAGAAAAATCCCTTGGGTATCCACAATATGGAGGGTGATGAGGGCTCCCTCAGAGGCAGCTCCAGTAATTGGAGCATAAAGCCGGGAAGGGCAGCACACAGCGGGTCACGCCTGTAATCCCAGCTACTTAAGAGGCAGAGTGGGAGGACCAAGGCTTGAGGAAAAACAGTTAGTGAGACCCTATCTCAACAAGTAAGCTGGGGGTGGTAGTGCCTGGACTGTAATCCCAGGTAGTCAGGAGGCATACATAGGAGGATTGTGGTCCTAGGCCAATCCAGGCAAAAACCGTGAGACCCTAGCTGAAAAAAATGATTAAAGCAAAGAGAGCTGGAAGGGTGGTTCAAGTGGGAGGGCACTTGCTAGCAAGTGCAAGGCCCTGAGTTCAAACCCCAAAACACCCACCCCACCAAAAAAACCCCCAAAACAAAACCCTATTCAGAAGGTAGAACCAGCAGGTGTTGTAACTAATTGGGTGTGAAGGTGAAGAAGTAACAAAAATAATTAGTACTTACAGACCTCTTGCTATGTCTCCGACAGTGACAGGGCTTTCCTGTCCAATCCCATCTACCCTTGCAACATGTCCCACGAGGGGCAGAATTATGGTGTCTTACAGATGGGGAAACGGAGGCCCGGCCGGGGGAAGCAAATTGCCTAGTCCCAAGACAGCTGTGGTAGAGCCTGGGGGACGCCACTTGCCAACAGCAAGCCACTGGTGACTAGGCGAGAAGACTTGGGATGATCCCTCAGTTTCTCTGGGAAGGCTGGGCATGTGGACAAGCTGCCAAGGGACGTGCAAAATCTAGGTGGGTGGGGTTTCCAGTGCAGTCTAACTCCACGGTCAAGAGCGGTGGCTAAAGGCAGGCAGGGCGAGCACGTCGCTGCCCTGACAATGAAATGTGCGATGAATGGAGGAAATGCAGAAACAGAAAAGGCTGCGGGAGAGCAAGAGGCTCCGTTCGTGTCAAATGGACACTGGTGGCCTTGCTCCTTGAAGATCACCGGAATCATCTGCTTAATGATTCAGGCTCATTCTTGGCACCTATTAGCCAAGTTGCCATCCCGTGGAAGCCAGCAGCTTCTAAAAGGGGTAGCGTCTCTCCATGGTGCATGGATCCCACCCCTCACCAGTTTGGGGCTGTTGGATTTATCCATCCCTGTCTCTCTCTGAGGCCTGAAACAGCAAAAAGGTTGAAATAGAAAGTTTCTGAGTGTCGCGTGGCTGAGGAGTCATGGAAGTGTTGGGTAGTGAACATGGTACCGTGAAAAATAAACTATCAATAAGAAGATGAGGTTTGCATCTTGTACAACATCACAAGCATCGCTGAGCTCTCTTGCTCTTATTTTCCTCACCTGCAAACCAAGGCCGATTATTTATTGTGGTAAATCAAATAATATCTGAGTTGTAAGCATTAAATGTATCTGAGTAGCTAGCAGGTTTTCAGGAACATTGCAGAAACTCAGTTTGTTCGTTTTTGTCTTTTGTTAAAGACACACCAATTGCAATGTTATGTGCACAATGCATACCTCAAAATATGCTCATGATCATTTAAAATATACCTGCAGTGTGCAGGATGTGTTGTCATTTTGGCGGCAGCAGGGTTTAAATTTAGGACCTTGTACTTGCTAGGCAATAGTTCTACCACTGGAGACATAAGCCCAGTCCTTTTTTTTTTGAGGCATCCTTGCTGTGTTGCCCAGGCTGGCCTTGAACTCTCAATTCTTGTGCTTCTGCCTCACAAGGGCTGAGATGACAGGCGTGTCCCATCATGCGCTGGCAGAACTTGGTTTTCAAGTCCTGCACTCTACCACCTGGAGGCACGCTGAACACTTACAAGGTGACAGGTCTACATGGGAAGTACTACTAAGCTTCTGTGTTCACAAATTCCACCCGAGTAAGTAAACAGTACCGGGAGTGTCACCACTCACAAGCGGATCAGCTTCGTGTGACAGATCAGAGAGAAGCTGCACCATCAAGACTCCGCGGCGACAGTGTGAGCAAAGAAAACACTCCCTCTGCCTCCTGGGAAATCTAATTGTCCTCATCTTGGCAGGAAACTTACAACTGCTGAATTTTATTTACAAAAATTTGCATTCCCAAGAGAAGATGTGTGAAGATGGAAGATGGAAAAAAATCTTCCAACTCGTGGCTGGATCTGGCTCTCTGTGTGGCTCTTGCTGGAGTCCCGTGTCCCTTCAGCTGGGCCCCTGCATGCCTGCCATCTAGGAGAAGCTTCCGCTTTGTCCTCCAACCTCCCTGGACCCCTTCGTTTTGAGGCCTGACCTTCCTGCCTCAGTATGGGGAGCCAGCCCCACAACCTAATTCGGCCCGGTCCCCTGGCTTGTGATAGTCACCACTGTGTTCCCGAGTCCCTTCTCTCTGTCCCACCTCCCACCCCGTATTTTCCCTTCCCTCCTGTCTCCCTCCCTGTCTCCATGATTCTTTCTTTCTTGTTTTTCCTGTGACACTACGGTTTGAACTCGGGGTTTTGTGATTGCTAGGCAGGCATCCTATGCTTCCCCCATCCCTCCAGCCCTTTTTGCCCTGGTTATTTTGGAGATGGGGTCTTGTTTTTGCCTAGGCCAGCAGGGACTGCAATCTTACTTATGCTTCTGGCTGTAGGTGGGATGACACACAAGTGCCACCATGCCCAGTGTCCCCTGCCCCCAACTTTGTTGAGAAGGGGGTCTCGTGGACTTTTCACCCAGGCTGGCCTGGAACTGTGATCCTCCCTGTCTCAGCCTTGGAGTAGCTAAGATGACAGGCATGAACTACCCGTACAGGGTTTCGTGTTTCTTACTTTCTGTGTTTACCATGTCTCTGTACACACACACCCCCCTCCATACCCTGTGCTCTGCAAACTGAAGCAGCGACGGCCACTGGACGCCCCTCTGAGCTTTTGGGTCCCCCCCACTTCTATGCTTTACTCACCTAAAACCATCTCTGAACCAGTGGATTCTTCAGCCGGGGTCCCCACGGCGGTGGGCAGAACCTCGTCATCGAAGCTGATGAGGTCGAAGTCCCCCGGGGGCCTGGCTGGGGGTCCTTCTCCCAGTGACCTGAACGCTTTGGCTTGGGATGCCACTGAGAGTCGGGGAGGGACAGGGCCTGGTTTTGGAGGAGCCGAGGGGTGGGCAGGGGGTTCCGAGGACACTGATTTTTTGGGCAGCAGGGGCCTTGGGGCGGGAATTGGGACTTTCTTCCCAACCTCGGGGTTCTCAAACCCAGGACCCCCGCCTGAAATCTCATGATTGACACCTCGGGTAAGGCCAGGAATTGGCTTCTTTGGCAATTCAGGTTTAGCTCCTGGGGTGCTTCCTGTTTCTTGGGGTGCAGAGTGTGGGGCGAGCCCTTCCCTGGAGGTCACCTTGAGTCTGTTTTCAGCCCAGCTGTCCCAGTCTCCAGAAACTCTGTGGGCAGCTGGTTTGGGAGCCACAGAGGGCTTCACACAGGGAATGGCAGGTTTTGGGGGGACAGTGCGTGGGGTGACTTCTGGTTTCTTCAGCAGACCTGGGGTTTCTGGACTTGTCTGACCCTCGAAGGCTTTGATCCTTGGACCAATCTTATTTTGGCTTTGTTCTGCATTCATAGTGTTCACAGGACAAGCTGTGTCGCTGGCACTGTCCAACAGACACTGTGGCCAGCCCGGGGTGGCCGGCTCTTCTGGGACAGCTGGACTGACTTTCTGGTGACTTCTGTCTTTAGTGTTGGTATCTCTAGCGACTGGCCGGAGGTTGCTCTTGGATCTTGGTCTTGGCACTGGACATTTTGTCGCACTGGGGTTTTCGGGACAATTCTGTTCTTCAGGAATGTCGAAGACTATTAAAGGTCCCACATTTGATGACACATCACGGGGTGAGGCCACTGGGGAAGGCTGCAGAGGCTTGAGAGGCGCTGGCAGACCTGCGACATCACCACGAGCAATCGGGAAGAAAAAAGATCATGAGATCTGAGTTCCTCAATTAGGAAAAAGCATCACAAAATCATGGGGTGGTGTTTGTGCTCAGCCTCCTACGGGAGTGTTCCTCGCTGGTATTCGTTCATGCAACAGATACTCATTAATAGATATTTAAAACACTACGAAATTCTTGATTCTCATAAGGAACCATTTTGAAGGAACCACTTCTAGCTGGTTGTCAAAATACCAACTTTTTTTTCTTTTGGTGGTACTAGGATTTGAACTCAAGGCTTTACAGTTTCTAGGCAGGTGCTCTACCGAGCTCAAGCCATGCCTCCAGCCAAAAATTCCATCTTTCATGATTTATTTTTCCAAAGCAGCTTACTCTTATATATCTATTACCCTAACAAAATATGTCTTAAAAGTTGTGCTTTTTTTTGGCAGTACTGGGGTTTTGAACTCAGGACCTCATACTTGCTAGGCAAGTGCTCCACCACTTAAGCCATGTTCCTAGCCTTTTTTGTTTTAGTTATTATTTTTTTTTTTCAGATAGGGACTTGCATTTGTGCCAGGGCCAGCCTGGACCACAGTCCTCCTATTTACATCTGCTGCGTAGCTGGGATTGTAAATGTGAACCACCATGCCCAGCCTGTTTGTTAAGCTTGGGTCTTCCTTGCTTTGTGCCTGTGCTGGCCTTGAGCCATGATTCTCTGATCTCCACTTCCTGAGTAGCTAGGATTACAGACATGAGCCACCAAGCCTGGCCCCAGCTTGTTTTTGTGAGACAGGGTCTCACTACCTTTTGCCTGAGGTGGCCTTGAACTCTGATCTGGACTCTGCCTCCTGAGAAGCTGGGATTATAGCTATGCCCTGCCACATCTGGCCACTTTTTTTTAATGTACATATGTACACAAAGAATAATCACCCTTAGTACCCTTCAAGTTTAAGTTGCTAAATGTAAAATTCTTGTCAATGGGAATGAAGGATATACAGAGTAACATGCACCAGGAGTGGAATAGATGGTGTTTTTCTGACGTTAAGCAGGGTAAGCCCGAGAGATCGGGCTGCAGCTCTTAAGAAGGATGTATAATAATCAGTGCACACACACAGTGATCGCAAAACTCAACAAATTATGCACAAATTGCAAATGACGTTTTTCCCACTGACTGCACCCCAGAAGTAGCTCAGAGCGAGGGGAGACAAATTACTCGCGTTACTTTGAGGCAGAGTGTTGTCTAGTTGTTCTGGGAAGTCAGTCTGAGTTGCAGAAGTAATTGTGCTCCTTGAAGTGGCAGTGGCGTTGGTATTATTTGTGGTGTTAACTTGAACTTGGTTGATTTCTTTTATGACTTGTTCATAAGACGGCGGGAGCTGAAAAACGCAGAATAAAACTTTTAGACATCTGTGGGCCACAGCCAAGATGTGACAGCATCATTGTTTTTCATCTTCGAATTTAATAAAAACAAACCAAAAAACACAAAGAGGCAACGTGGGGGTTATTCACCTCGGCGGGAACCAGCTCATTGGGCCTCCAAGGGCCCGAGGCAGGAGTCGGGGGAAAGCCCAGTCCTGGGGCAGGGGCGCCTGGGAACCACGAGGCTGGCCTCAGGGGCTCCGCTGCCACGATGGTGATCTCTGGACGCCTGGAGGACAGAAGTCCGGGTGAGGTTTTGTAGGTTGGTAACAAGCTATTATTATCTATCTGCAAATGTTCAAAGACTCATGGAAACGACCACCCCCCAAAAAAGTGGTAAGAACCACCAGAGTCAGAGGAAAGCCTTCTGGCCTGGGTGGTCTAACAATACACCCAGGAAGGCTTCCAAGAAGCAAATGACAGCCAACCCTCTGGAATTTGCCCTCAAGAAGTTGGAGATGCCTGGGCACACTTAGCTCTGCCCTGGTTGACAAGGACAAGGACTAAGGCCACCCGATCTCTTTCTTTAGGCTCAGCTGCTGTCTAGCCTACAGCACAAAAATGGTGTAAGTTGGAAAAACACACCAGTCAATGGAGTTGTTTAGTTTTCTGTTATTGTAAAGTGCATACTAAAATGAAGGTTACTGTATAAAAGAGTGTCCTTGGCCTCACTGTATCTCAGCTCTAACGCAAAGTTATCTTTGTGAGTTTTGAGTTTACAAGTTTACTTTTATATCCCACTGTGTCTCTATGCGCCTGGTCAATTTTGTGCATGATTTAATGATTAGTGTGTAATGTTGAGCTGTAGTGAGTTAGGCATGGCTTCTTTTCTTAATCTGGTTCCACACTTTTTTTTGGCAGTACTGGGGCTTGAACTCAGGGCTTCATGCTTGTTAGGCAGATGCTCTACCACTTGAGCCCCTCTGCCAGCCTTGGTTCTATGTTTTTATGTGGATATTTTATCTTCAACCTGATTTCCTAACAAACACCATGTGAACCTGAGCCTCTATCTTCTCCTCTAACCAACAGGAATGATGGTATCTGCTCGCTGTTGGCTAGCATTTTATGGAAAGTAAAAATAAGCATGATAATTATAAAAATTGTGCATACACACGTTCTTATGCTAGCTTGTGAGGCAGTACGACCTGATCATAGATTAAGCTTCAACTGTATTCCCTTCAACCTCTGCTTACAGCTTTTGTCTTACTAAATAATAAGAATTGTTGGCTAATAAGCGTTAAGCACTACACACACATTAATCCTACAACAACCTTGTGATGCTGGTGTGATTAGCACCATTTTGAAGATGGGAATATAAAAGCTAAAAAGGTTAAGCGCTTGCCCAAGATCACTGTGAAGTAGTGAAGCAGGATTTGGACTTGTTTTTTTTTTTGAGTCTTTGTTTTTCATTATTCTCTACGTATGAAATTTGAAAGCAGAGATCTTGACTTTTCTATTCACCATTTATCTATCTGTCCACCCTTCCATCCTGTTGTCCATCCATTCTACCATCTGTTTGTCCATTGGGCCTTTCTTCTATCTACCCAGCTACCTGCCCCTTCTTCCTTCTTCCCAACCAATTATCCACTGTTACCCATCCAGCCTGCCTCTCTTTTGTTTTTTATTTTAAATCCTTATAATCAGCTTTCTAGTCTGTCAAACATCCATTTATGTAGGCAACATTTATTAAGTGCCTGTGAGGTGCAAGGTATTTCTGTGAGGCAGTTATGACAATGTTCTACATGGAGCAATTGCTTAATAAACATCCTGAAATCAGAGCTCAGCAAATAATTACAGTCACAAGAACATTTTCAGGCCTGTATCACTTCTTCTCTGAAGCATTCAAATTTAGAGATTAATTCAGAGATGTACTGATGAGGCAGAACACAGTAAAAAATGGAGCTTACAAAAGAGAAACCTTGAACGGATGCACACTTTTACCTCAATAATTAGAACAGATATAAACCCTCCATTGTAAATATAACCGTACCTCCTATCTCGGTGAAGTTCACTCTGAATAGAAGTCCGAGAAGCTAGAGAAGAAAGAATAAACTGGTATAGTGAAAAATTTGTACATTCAATAAAGACTTAAACTTTTATAGAGTATACAGTCAGGAAGGTTAATTTATACTGGACGCCATACAGAATGTATGAATTTTAACATCTCTAAGTAGAGAAGTAAATCAAAATGATCTTTGTAAATGGTTAATTATGATTACAAGCTAAAATTGTGTAAGAAAATACAGACTTCACAAATACCTTCTGTGGTTCTGAAAATAATTGGGAGAATGAACAGAGAAAAGGAGAAAGCTACTAAGTATAAATTGCACAGAAGCAGCGCTAGAATGAGAAAAAAGACTCATGGGAAGAAAAAAATTAAATATTCTCATCTATATCACTGTACTTTGTGATATTTGTGTGGAAGTGATCAATTGTCACCTACTTTCTGGCTTACCTGGCATTTTACAATCTTTAAGTAGTTTTATTAATTAAGTGACTAATAAATGTAAAGATGTTCAAGTGACTTTCTTTTTGTGATACTGGGATTTGAACTCAGGGCCTCACCCTTGCTAGGCAGGGGCTCTAACACTTGAGTCACTTCACCAGTCCTGTTTTTGTAATGGATTTTTTAAAGACAGGGTCTTGGGAACTATTTACTAGGAGCTGGTTTTGAATTGTGATTCTCCTGCTCTCTGCTCCTGAGTAGCTATCGAATGACTTGTCAACGTGGTCACATGACATTGTCTATGAAGTACTGACTTTTCCTTCACATCTCAAACCCAAAGGGCTTAACAGTTTAATTTTTTTCCAAATTTTATTTTTTAAAGGCCTATCAAGTCTTAATTAGACAATATGGAACACATCACACATGGAGTCAGCTTTTTTTTTGTAATAGAGAGCATTGTCTCTATTTTTAAGGAGCACTTTGTAAAGATCCCTTGGTGTGGCAGGGGGTGGGGGGGGTGTCTTCAAGAATTCTACCATAAAGATTTGTGCAAAGGGGAATTTGATTCGGATCTAGACATTTTCACCCAGTTGCTTCTCTATGCTGCTTTTTCACTGCTCCTGACTTGAAGAGGGGATGCTGGAAATTTCTGCTTCTCTCTGAACAAGGCAGCTGCGAAGGCTGGCAGAGGTGGGTGTGGAGGTGGAGGTGGAGGTGGGTATGAAATTGATGGTGGGTTGGAGCTGTGACAGCTGAACCTGTGCTGGGCTGGCAAAGCAAGCCTCTAACCCATGGGCCTCAACTGGGAGGACGCCGATACCCATGGCACCGGCTGGCTTGACTGACTGCTACCTCCTCATCAGGAGCTAAGCCAATCTGGGTACATTTTGTCTACTGGAGCACAGGAGAGACAGGTCAGAGCTCTGCACAGTGCATCTGATTGGTAAGAAGCTTTCAGTAAGTCAGAGGCTCACCCAGGAGTGACAGAAATCATACCACCACCACCCCTAAAGCTGGCATCAGCAGGCATAGCACTTGTAAAAGGCTTTGTGTTATTGTCACACACGTACCTCTTCCACGGGGCATTTTGCTGTGTACTACTCATGAGTGCTAAAGGAGAAAAACATGGGGTTATAGAAGAGGAAAAGGACAGAGCGAGAACCCAGCTGCCCATGTTTGCAAGGACTTCAGGGGCAAGACTGTCTTGCTATGCCACTGTTTCCCCACTTAGAAGGAAGAGAAAAGTTGAGGAGCCAGAGTCAGAGGGTAAGGAAACACGGAGTCACAAAGACTGGCCTGTGCAGACCTGATCATTCACACATACCACCACAGCCCAAAAATCTGCTGGTAGTTTTTAACAACAGTGAGAAAAAAAAGAGAAAAAAATCTAAAACCCATTTTGGCAGAATCAGTTTGCTCCTTTATTAAATCGATTTTGAAGAGTGAATAATACTCAGAAGGTAATTTAATAATTGACTTATATTCTCTTAAATCAGTGGCTTTTAACTTGATTCTGATCAGAGGTCACTAATAATGGGTCCCCTCAGCCCTGGCAGCAGAGTGGTACTGTCACACTCAGTGCTACAGAGCAGAATGAGATGAGGGCTCACGGCTGTGCGTGCAGAGCCCCTCTCTGCACCCTTTGACAATCTCTGCTTTCGCCTCCCCCTCTCTGATTTTTTTTCCACATTTACCTTCCACGAAATCACTTTTCTCTCTTAGTCCTCATAAAACAGCTGTTGCTGTTGAACAAGTCTACCAGCTCACCACACTTCAGATTTTCATGTGGTATCTCACACTCTTTCTGCCAGCTTCTCAACTCCCCACTTACACACGTCACCTCATTTCCCAGGCTACACAGCAAATGTTGCCAGGAGAATCGAATTTGTCATCAACCCATACAGACCAACGTGTCCCATTTGCCCCTCTGCCACCAGCAGCTTGTCTCTCCTGCAGTTTGGATCTAAGCCACAGAATAAAGGCAGTGCTTCAGTTTAAGTGTCATTACTGGTGTCACTGCACTAGTTCAAGTGGTTACATTGTAAGGACAAAGCATGCTGGGCTTTTATAAAAGCGTTGAGCTGTAGGTCTGAAATAGTAACACCAGTAAAGACTGCTTCCGTGTTCCAGCGGGATGCTAACCCTGGGAAGAGCCCCAGAGGAGGAGCCTGAGATAAGAGGTCAAGTGAATTATCCCAAGGTCACCCACTGGGGTGAGCTGGGGGGTTTGTTTCTTGCAACACTTTAGCTCCTTGTCCAGTTTGATGCTGGTCCTGATTCTAAATCGTTCAAAATTATAGATCAGAAGAAACCAACACAGAGATGGATTATTATATTGCACTAGGACCATCTTATGGGTGCAAATCCCAATATTAAGAAACTCATTGATTACATTTGCTGGGAGAGGGGCTGAGCAGATGTGTCTGATGTGATAGCAGGAACATCTGTGGAGCAGAAAGCTCTGTGGTCTTGACATCTAGAAGTTGAGGCTCACATCCCAGCTCTGCCCCGTGAAGCCATTTTGCTTCTCTGGACTCAGTTTCCCTCTGGCTGTAAAATGGTGTTAATGCAACCACACAGAGAGTGTTATTTTAAACACATAAGGCAGTTTCTGACTTACAGGGACTCAATATTAGCTAAATCTGCATACCAGGGAATATTTTTCTCTTAAAAACGTAAGGAAAGGAAGAATATGAAATTCTAGATATATCTAATTAGGACACATCAAAAAAAAAAAAAAACAAACCTAGTAAAAATATTTAGGGTTCATAAGAACGAATGCAAAAAAAAAAAAACAAAAACAGGACCCCATGACTGACTGGAACTAGAACTTTTATGAAGGAATTTGAAATGCAATCAGTTGCAGAAAACTGCATGATGACTGATGACCGAGTCTAACATTTTAATGAGCTGGCGAAGATAAAAATTATTTACAACGTTTTCTTAAAGAACAGGCAAAAAGGGGAAAAGAGCTTAGCACAATTATTCCTGATTCTGTGTTGACAAAACATGATGAGAAATTCTGTTTGGCCTTCTTAACTCATGCCAGGAATAAATACAAACAAGTATTTTCTGAATGTTTGTGAAGTGACTGATATGCAAGAATGAAGGGGAGCTGGCTTGGTCAGAAAACACACCCATGAGCTGCGTCTAGGAGAGGGCTCCCGCTTGTCTTGCCTCCTCCTTCCTCCCTGGCCAGGGCTCTGGGGTACCAATTTCCTCTTCTGCATCCCAGGCTGTGTCCATTCACTGCAACCCCGCCACCCAGGAACGTCCTCAGCTTCCTCCTCACCAGCTGATGAACAGGCTCATCTCATAGTCAACCCCAGCTGTCCTACTCCACAAATGCCATTCAGTGTTCAGAGGGCTGTGTGGCCTCTGACTCAACGTCCTACTGCAAGTGCTCTCTCAAAAGTGTCTGCTGGCCTCCCCGGGCCCATTCTCAGCCGCCCTTGCTTGGCCTTGCTGTGGCTCACACATTCCTTCCAATCTCCTTCTTTGACCTCTAATACACATTTGTCCTCTGGTTTGTCAATTCCTCTGACCACTCGTTTTCAGCCTGGTCCAGAGGCTCAGGGTAAGTGAGCTCCATCCTGAGCATCACGGGAAGCCAGGTACAGAACATGGTCCCTGACAAAACCCTGACATCCGAGCAAACAGGAAGTAAAGGCCAGGACAAAGGCAGAGCCTGCAGACAGCACTCAGTGGAAGGCCCTTCTTCTTCTGCAGGTCGGGTTACTGGGTCATGAGCCTGTTGTGTTGTTGTCTCTTAATGACATAGCTTGATGACCTCAGACATCATAAGATTCTGTCCCTTGTCACCTCTATCCTGTACACTTCATCCCTAAATGTTTAGCTACTTCCAAGAATTTGCCCATAGCCTTGACTATCCCAAATTACATTTCCAGCCAGGAAATTTCTTGCTGAAATTCTAGCTCCTAATTTTCTATTTAAATTCCCTCCCTGTCCCTCCTATGTCCTTGACCCCACCCTGAGGGTTCCAAGGCAAGTAGAGCATCACCAAGTTTTCACTTTAATATCTGACTTCCCCTAATCCTCCCCATACAAAGATAATTTACCAACAAACGAAAGAAATGGAGTGAAGACACATGCATCTTTTTTGAGATGGCTACCTCATAAAATTTCCACTGGAATGGTTCAAATGCATGTACTTCGTGACCTGTGGCTATCTTAAATTCATACTAAACGTTACAAACCATGTTTCTAAAAATAGGTTATCTGCTCTTCAGTGTGGTGACCATAGCTCAAATGATGAGAAAAACATTTAAAATCCCATTTTTATTTTTTTCTATAATTTTTTTTCTATAATTCATGTTCTACTTGAAAAAAGGATCCTTCCAGAGCCTTTCATTCAAAAGAGACTTAAGATCCTGTGCCCAAAGCAAATTTAAAGCTTTAACCAAGAAGTAAAGACACAAAATATAAATATGTCATTTGGAAGGGAATTTTCATAGAAGTTTGAGTCTCTCTTCACAGGCATTTGTATAGCTTAAGAGAACGGGCTTTAATATTTCTTAAATCCATCAAATGTCTTTAACTATACAAAATGGTTCTATAAAATTCTGTCAGATCACAAATACCAACTACATGGCCTGATTTGATTCTGAGATGGTTTCATTCTTTAAGAGAAAGGTCTTATTTTGAACAACTGGCTTATCAACAAACGAAAGTTGAAAAACTAGCTGTTTGTCTGAAATGCTTTATTACAAGAACAGAACAAGCTGTTCTTGTGAGGTTCTTTAGAGAGTCATCAATACACTCTTCCTAGAAATCTAAACCATCATTTAAAATTATCACAGAGTAAAACCCAGAGCAGGAAGAAACAAACTTACATCTCTTGATTACTGCTCTGATGGATGACAAGGGTCCTTGGCTAGAAAAAGAAAGAAAGAGAACATATTACACATTCGTCAATCCCTGTGAAGACAGGTTATTCATAACGCCAGGTCGTTTCTAGGACTCAACGTGGTGCCAAGCATCCGATCAGTTATGTTAGTTACTGGCCTATCCTCTTCACAAGACAAAAATTAAAAAAAATTTAAGCTGCCTTTTATGTGATGATGTTTTATGGGAACTGAGGAGGCTGGTGTTGTTTCTCTGTAGTGTGAATAAAATTTTGCCTTAAAAACTGATTTCACAGAAACCTACACAGCACGTCTTCCAGTCAGCACGTCACTCAGAAGAGCTCCTTACAGCTGTTCTGCACTTGACGTTGAAATTCCTGTCTCCTCACAACAGATCTAAAACTTCAGATTAAGCTTTGAAAGGTCGCCACTTAACAATAAAGCAATCTGCTTGCTTGTGAGTCCTGTGTATTGACTCTGGCTGTGACCTGGGACAAGTCACAACCCATCCTGAGCCTCATTTTACTCATTGGCCAAGACATTCTAGCTACAAAGGCATATGCTACTTGTTTATATATAAACATATATATATATATGTATATATATATATATACTGCGCCAGCCCTTGTCTCTTTATTTATTTATTTTGTCTTTCTTCAAATCAGTTGTACTAATTTCTTTTGGAACCATTTGGATAAAAAGTTTAATGAAATGATTTAGGAGGAAAAAAAGACCTTCTTGTTTATAAAATTCTTCACTGTTTTCTGAATGCTCTTTAAAAATTTAGACTTAATTTTAAGTTTCTGTTCTTTTAAGATTTATGTGGTTTCTTACCTAGATAAGCCAAAACTTCAAGAAAACACAAAAACCTATCAGCACATGTTAAGGGAGGACTACCTTAAGAACTCACTTGCTATGGTTTGAACATGCACTCCTAAAACACATTTGCTACCCATTCAACCCCCAGTGGACTGGCGTTAGGAGGAGGGCCCTGCCCGGTGATTAGGCCATAGGGACTAATGGAGTTGCACTGGTACCACAGGCACAGCTCATCAGAAAAGGGACTTCAGTCCGAGCTGACTCTCTCTGCCTCCTGTCCTTTGCCCTCTGTCAACAAGAAAGGCTGGCCAGACGCCAGTCCCTCACCCTTGGACTACCCAGCCTCCAGAACCTTGAGCCAACAAATTCCTGTTCATGATGGTGGCTTACCCAGCCTGTGGCGAGCTGTAATGGACAGGAGACAACACTTTACTTCTTTCAGATGGAAAAAAAAATGAAGCTCTAGGAGCTCTCTGACACCAAGAAGCAAGAACTGTGATATAAAGATGTCACTATTTCCAGCAAAATGGACTTTTTTTTTATTAATTGCTTTTTCAGCACTGGGGTGTAAACTCAGGGTCTCACACTTGCTAGGCAGGCTCTCTAGCAAGCCACCTGCGCCAGGCCTCCAGCAAAACTGATTTTTAAGGGTGTTCTTTAAAGATTTTCTATAAAACAACTACCTTGAAAAAAAAAAAAGAATTCATATAAGGTAAAATAGAAGTAACAGCCCTAAAAAGCAAATAGGTTCAGGAGAAACTTCTCGATACAACACTGGAGAGGCTCTGCGTGTTGACATCCTATGTTGACTCAGATGCAGTGATTATAAGAGTCAAAAACGAGGGCTGGGGGGTGGCTCAGAGGCAGAGCGCTTGCCTGGCATGTGCAAGGCCCTGGGTTTGAACCCTGGCACCGGGGGTGGAGAGGGTGGGGAGAAGAAACAGATCCCCATGAGTACGGAGAAGCAGGGCCCGGCAGAAGGCTGCTAGTGCTATGTGCTAGTGCCTTGTTCACTAACAATGACTTGGGGGTGCCATTTCTAATCAGAACCACCTTCGTCACTGCTGTAGAAGAGTAAGGTGTCTGACTGGGGTGGAACCTGGAGGTATTTGGGTTGGACTGTGTCCTTGTCCACAAAGATATTGAAGTCTTTACCCCTTGTATCTCAGCATGTGACTTAATTGGAAATAGGGTCATTACGGATTTAATAGGATAAGATAAGGTCAGACTGGAGTAGGATTAACCCAATCCAATATGCCTGGTTCTTGGAAGACAGCCACGTGAAGACAGAGGTACACAGGGAGAGTACCATGTGGTGACAAAGACCAGAGTGATGTCACTGTAAGCCAATAAATGTCAAAGATCGCTGGTGAACCTCAGAAGCTAAGAAGCGAGGGAGGATTCACCTATGAATTTCAGAGGGAGGGTGCCCTATGGACATGCTGATTCCAGACTTCTAGGCTCCAAAACTGTGAGACAATAAATTTCTGTTGTTTTAAGTCACCCAGTTTGGGGTATTTTGTTACCATAGCTTAAAAAGTAACACAGCTTGAGTACTCTAATCTGCAAATCCCAAACCCAAACTTTCTGAGTGCTGACATGACATTCAATAAGTTTTGAATTTTGGGGACATTTTGGATTTTGGAATTTTGGATTAGGGGTGCCCCACTGGTAAAGTGTATGCAGATATTCCAAAATCAGAGCCACTTCTGCTCCCGAGTGTTTCAGATAAGGGATACCCACCCTTCTAGAGTGCAGAGTAGACAGCTGTGCACTCTGTTGGGTTTTTGCTACCTCACATGTCAGTTAAACGCTGGGGAAGGGCATGCTGTAGATCTTGACTGAGATCAGCTGAGTTCTCTAACTTCTGTATTAAGGCTAACTATAGAAGCAAATCAACCACTAACTTACGTCTAGAAAAGAATTTTCCAGCCTGGGCGCCTGTGGCTCGTGCCTGTAATCCTGGCTACTTGGAAGGTTGAGATCTGGAGGATTGAGTTTTGAGGCCAGCCCAGGCAAATAGTTCTCAAGACCCCCATCTTCAAAATAACCAGAGCAAAATGGACTGGAGGTGTGGCTCAAGTGGTAGAGCACCTGCTTTGTGAGTGCAAAGCCCTGAGTTCAAACCCCAGTTCACTTCCCACCGAAGAAAAGTGGAAGTAGAAAAGAATTTTCCAAACTCTAAAGTCCTCTTCAAGTATTCGGTTCATGTCTAGCACATGTTGTTCTTGAGGGCTAAAATAATCAGCTGCACCAAAAAATGACACGTAACATCCTGTCCAGTAGTAAAAAACAAAGGCACTCTACCAGGCTCTGGCTCAAACCTATTGGCGTGACCAAAAGTGACCTTCAGGTCATTAATGTGTCATTTCAATCTTGTTGTAATTGCAGATCCTCCTCTCCCCCTCCACCCCACTGGCTATTTTTTCATGGGAAATCCCATATGCAGAATGACTCTTGAAAGGGTTGTGACTCTTTTACAACTTTCATGTCAGTCACTCCCATGTCAGGCTGGGCCTGGTGGGGGGACTTGGCCCTTCAAGCCCCTTACTCTTTAATAAAAGCCTGGGATGGGGGGAGTGAAAGTAATTGTTGTTTGGATCTTTCCTTCTTAGATGACACACTTTCACATCAGAAAGCATCCTTCTAATCTAATATACTTAACTATTCTTAGTAAACTCTGAAAAAAGAAAGTTCTCCTTTTCAGGCTGGCAGTGCTTCATGGTGGGAAAATACAAGAGGTGCCTGCAGTGGAATACACAGTGAGGCAGTCCTGGGAGAGGCTGGCATGGCCTCCGGTTGGGTGGCACATCCACCTTCTGTATGGCGGGTGCAGCTGTGGATGTGGACACCGTGGGTTTGGAGCCGACCTTCTCTCTCTTTCTGAAGAGCACAGACTGTAGGTGGAAGCAGGTCTTACAGTGCACTTCAGCATTGGGTCTTGTTTTAGCTGGGGACCTTCAGGAAGGACAGCCACTGCAGGTTGCCTGATGTGGCTCCGTGACCATAGACCAAAGTGGGGACAGTAGAGGTTGCTGGCCCGGAGGGCTGTGGTGGAGGCATCAGGATGTACATGGACAATCCTGGTTCTGCTACCTGCTCAAGGGTGACTGTGCAAACTGCTTACTTCTGCAAGGCCTCACGGATAAGAGCAGGGAAAACTTATTGCTCTCTTGTCGAGAAGAAGGAGAGCTATCTGTGAAACACGTCACACAGGTCCTGGAGCAAGCGTGTGCTCACAAACGCGACCTGCTGTCCTCACCTTTCATGTCTGCTCATAATTTTAGCACTGTCCCCAAACATCTCACAGCACACACGACCCTCCACAGGTTCCCACTTTGGAGCTGGTATCATCCAGATGGCAGGCCTAAATATTTGGGTTATATTTTCAAAAGCTTTTTATGTCTTTAAATTAATTTTACTTCCCTCTGGTTTCTGCTGTCACCACCCCACCAAAAAAAAAAAAAAAAACCCCAGATGATTCCATCCTGAACATAAAGGCTTTTGCTGGCCCTTGAAGAGCTTTTGCCTTGAAGAGCTTTTTGTCTTTAAGGATGTATGGCTGTCCCTCCTATCAGTGCCCTTGCTCTAGGTGAGGCAGATAAAATCCCTCCTACATGAGATTGTCAAAGACCCTTCCAAGAGGGAATGAAAGTTTACGGGGAATAATGGCTCTCAGATCCTGATGGGGAGAGCAAAGTGTTGGGGTCAAGGCAGAAATGCCTCAGGTCTAGTCGCCTGACGATTTACCTTCCCTGAGAACTGTGGGGGCTTCTATCCTTTTCCACTCCCCACAGTGACCCCATCTCAGGCTTTGCCATATGGCTCTTTACCAGCGCACTTGTACATAACCTGAGCGATTAAGAAGGTGTCTTTAAGAAAGAAATTGCATTTTATGAGTTTTTTTTTTAAACTTAATGACATGGATTTCTGTGATGGAGATGAGAATGGCTTATTATTATGTTTCAAACCACTCGATTCTTTTTACAAATGAGGAAACTGAGGCTGAGGTTAGGCGTCTTGCCTGGGGTTACACAGCTGGTAAGTGGCAGATATGAATTCACTGAGTCTTGAATACACCATGGAATTCTGTAATTCAGGTGCAGGTGGAGGGGTTAAAGTTTCTGGATGTTCCATATATGTAGGCAGTGTACCCTCAATCATAAAGTGGATCAAAAGTTTTCCCACTGGAATTCCATGCAAGACTGCA